GTACATCTTCTTTGTAGACATATCCATTCAAATCTTTTGCCCAATTTTAAATTGGGTTCATCTGTTCATTTTCAACCTCAATCTGTTTGCTAGCTCATCTGATTTTTTTTAAAGCTCAGTTCATTTACATTTGTTAATAGAACTGGTGTTTGGTCTTAATTTTGTCATATTGTTTTACTATGTGGTCTATTTTGTATCCCCCTAACCCTCCTTGGTATTGTATCATATTTCTAGTGGTAAACTTTATACTAATATCTTTATGTAAAATTCTCTTTCTTTAAATACTGACTAGGTTCCCTAATATACGAGCAATTTTGAAACTGCTTCTTACCAAGTTCCTTCTTTCTCACCATCTACCCATTAGTTTTATCCTAGTGTTAATTTGTGTACTCAAGTTTTTATTTCTTGTCATCTTCAAGTGATATTTTACTTCAAGCTAATATCATTGATGTAATCTGTGAGCTTGTTTAACTTTCTACCTACTCACCTCTTTTCTCCCATTTTTTGTTAGTTGTATCAATTTTACATTATCAGAGCATACAGTTTTGTCTCCCTTATCCCCCTTTCTTTAGTCTTCCGACAATTAAACATATGCAACATTCACCCCAAGACCTTATGCCAAAGCTTCTATAATTATTTTGTGATTCTGTGAAGCTTGTTCTCTGATAAATTTCTCAGGAAAGGCTAATGGGAAACAATACTCCCTGAGTATTAGCATGCTCTTAACTATTGGTGCAGACTTTATACTTGTGCAGTTTGGATGTATATAAAAATCCTTGAAATTTTTTACTGAGTGTCTTAAAAATGTTGCTCCCAAGAAGCCTAATGACAATCTTCCTTTATAAGCAATGTGGATTTTTTGCCTGGATGTCCAAATGATTTTGTTTCTCCAATTTTTAAATCCAATAGCTTTAGTTTTACTAGGATATGTCTTGGTATTTACTCTTCTGGGTTGCTTTGTACAATGTTCCCTTTCAATGTGTATTAAAGTGTTATTTTTTAATTAAACCATAATTGATAATACATACTTGTGGGGTACAGAGTTGATTATCAATACTTGGGTATGATAAAAAATTTTTTCCAAGAAAGTTTTATCAAATTACAGTTTTCCATTTGTGTTCTGCTCCATTGCTTTGGTTTTCTTCAGGGACTCTAATATATATTGAATCTTCTTTGCCTATCTTGTATGTTATCTTTTACTTTAACTCAAATCCTTTTTATCTGTTTCTCCTTTTCATCTTTTAGTTCTTTACTGTGCTTTCTTTTTTTTTTTTTTTTTAAAGATGACCGGTAAAGGGATCTTAACCCTTAACTTGGTGTTGTCAGTACCACGCTCTCCCAAGTGAGCTACTATATAGCCGGCCATCCCTATACAGGGATCTGAACCCGTGGTCTTGGTGTTAGCAGCACCACACTCTCCCAAGTGTGCCACGGGCTGGCCCCTTACTGTGCTTTCCATAGTTGACTTTTCACTTTTGTATTCCTTCTAATTTAGTCTTCATTTCTAAATTTTTCCCCTAATTTTACTTGAGTTTCACATCCTCCTGTTCTTTTGCTATATCATTTTAAAGATCTCCTATTACATTTCTGAGTGTGTTCTTCTGTCAAAGCTTCGATCATTTTCTTAATTTTTTATACAATTTTTGTATGCTTTGTGGCCACAATCTTCTACTGTATTCCCATTACAGCTCCAGGGCTCCCTCCTCTGTTGTTAATGTCAAGTCCTCATAAGAGTAGTACTCTATTGTACTTACATCTTTAAGTGCTACATTTTAAGTATACTTATATACTTAAAATGTAGTATTATATAAAGTATTACTTTATATACCACACATATACAATCTAAACTTTATTACTCAGTCTGTCTGCTGTTCTGTTTGGTTTCTGTTTTTAGCAGTTTTCCAGAAACCAGGCTATTTCCTTAACGAAGGCAGTATTTTTTTTTTTTTGTGACCGGTAAGGGGATTGCAACTCTTGGCTTGGTGTCGCCCGCACCGTGCTCAGCCAGTGAGTGTACCGGCCATCCCTATATAGGATCCAAACCCGCGGCAGGAGCGCCGCTACGCTCCTAAGCGCCGCACTCTCCCGAGTGCGCCACGGGGCCGGCCCAACGAAGGCAGTATTTAATGGTTATATATAAAAATAAGGAAGACTTAGACTGCCACCACACTGTTTGATTCTCTCAAGACTATGCAGTTGTTTAGTCTTGTCTTAAGACTTTAGTCTTTAGAAAGACTTTAGACTTTAGTCTTAAAGCATGTGAGGACTTCTCTTAGCTTTGCTGGAGAATTCTCAGACCTGATTGTCCATGTTTCCTCTTGAGTGAGGTTCTCTCTATTTGGAGGTTATTTGTTGGCAAATTTTTAGTTCTATAACTCATACTCAGCATCCCCTTTCATTTCCCACCACTGCCACTGCACAAGTCCTGCTGTTGTTGGTGTTTTGGGTACGACAGATCCCCTGTTATCTAGTATTTTATTTTATTTTTTTTACAGGATGACCGGTAACCGGCCATCCCTATGTATGGATCTGAAGTTGTGGCCTGGCTGTTATCAGCACTGCACTCTCCCGAGTGAGCCACAGGCCGGCCCCTAGAAGTTTTGAATTTTAATGCAATCAAATTATGTACAATTTGCCTGGTTGTATGATCTGTTTTTCCTAATAGTGCCCAGTTACTCCAGTATAAGCATGGAGAAGATCCTTTATAGTGACTTCTCCCTGTCAAGTGCCTTATATTTTCATCTCCCAAGTTTTGAATTTTAATGCAATCAAATTATGTACAATTTGCCTGGTTGTATGATCTGTTTTTTCTAATAGTGCCCAGTTACTCCAGTATAAGCATGGAGAAGATCCTTTATAGTGACTTCTCCCTGTCAAGTGCCTTATATTTTCATCTCCTCACCCCTAAAAAACCTTCCCTCATTGCCTCCATTGTTACCCCTCCTAGAATATTTTTAAGTACTAAGGCCAAAGCAATGTTCCCCCCACCCCCCAACTCCAGGTACCCTTTCCTCACATGAAAGCTTACATAGAAACTCAAAATGAAAAATCACAGCTATCCAAGTTTGGCACTCTTTCCCCTCTCTGGTCTATTTTTCTCCCAGAAGCTCTCTGGCACTTAGTCTGAAAATCACTGAGATATAAAGAAAGAAAGCCTTACATTTTAAGTGAACAGTTGCAGGACAGAAAGAGAAGGAAATCACACTGATTATCTTTAGGCTTGGTCCCAGGAGTTTCTGATTCAGGATCTAGGGTGAGAACTGGGAATTTGTATTTTGTCAACTATCTTGTGGAATATACTATAAAGCATATGTACTTCACAGGGCCTGGTTTTCCAAAGCTTTGCAGTTTCAAATATTGACCTTGCAAGGACAGGAAATTTTCCTCAGGTTGTAAGTCTCTGTTGCAAGATAAGAATTGTGGCACAGCATGTTGCTGGCTCAAAGACAGACTAGTTACTGATTGTTATGCAAAGATACTGAGAAATTGCTATAAGAAGGAATGTCTGCTAAGATCAAGCTTGCGTTGATAAGACCACTTAATTGCCTTACTAGAATGTCATCTGGCTTGTTTCACTGATAGTTACCAGCCTATACTGTTAAACTATAACCCCACCTTTGTTCTCTTCCTGGTCTGGAAAATAAATGAAGGAAGAGAACCCCAATTCAGCATTAATTTTCCCAAGGAAGGGATGCCTCTTGCTGGAGGGTCCGGGGAAAGTTAACCACTTAGGTGCTTCTCACTGCTTGGAAGAGATGGGCTTTGAGTAATCCTTTGCATCTCCATCACTCAGGGGAAGTGGGGTGACAAATCCGTGGGGGGTGAAGCAACACAAAGCAACACATTCTCTATGTGACTTCAAAGCAGCCAAGTTTAAGAACCATTACACTAGACATATGCTGCCCAATAATTGCAGCACCAGCTACATACACATGCCTATTTAAATTTGAATGAACTAAAATAAAATAAAAACTTCAGGTCCTCAGTTGCATTAGCCATATTTCAAATGTTCAATAGCCATAAGGATAGTGACTACCATACTGCAGTGCAAATACAGAATATTTACATCACTGCAGCTCTTCTGGACAGTGCTGCTTTAAACACCTGTCTCCACAATTGGGTGTGCATACTCAAAGGGATGCAAAGATTTTAATCTATTTTTGACTGATTTTTAAGCCTCCTTTTGTGGAGTTATGTTTTACAATGTACTTGATGTATTAGTACAGCACTGCATGAATATAATATATATGAGAGTACTTCAAAAAGTTCGTGGAAAAATAGAATTAAAAGATAGCATGAATCTTTCCATGAACTTTCTGAAGTACCCTCATATATATGTACTTGTAGTGGATTGAATTGTGTCTCCCCAAAACTCCCTGAAGTTTGAATTGTGTCCTCCAAGTTTTATGTATTAGAAACTTAGGCCCCACTGTGACTGTTAAGGGGATGTGAAATCCTATTATGGTAACTGAAAGGTGGAACCTTAAAGAGGTGATTGGATTGTAGGACCATGCAGTAGTGAATGGATTAAAAATGGTGGTCAGGGGCATGTTTCTGAGGGCTTTAAAAGAAGAGGGGAGTCTGTCTCTCTCTCTCTCTCTGCTTCCACCATCTTTCAATGTGAGATCCCTGAGTCACCGACACCACCACCAGATGGACTTTAGACTTCCCAGCCTCAGAAACTGTAAGCAATAAATTTCATTTTCTTTATAAATTACCCAATTCCATGTATTTTGTTATAAGCAACAAAAATGTACTAATACAATACTCATACATACACACACTTGGTGTGCATGCTTAAAATTACTTATTGACACAGTGTATGGTCAAAAAGTTTGGAGACCCATTTACACTAAAAACCTATGTCTTTAAAACATTTGAAAACATTTTCCTATGCTGACAAAGATATCTTTTAACTAGAGCTCCATTCTAGGTATTGATTTTTATACTTCAAACCTAAATCCCAAACACAACAAGTCCCTTTTTTATTTTTAAATATACACATATAAGATATTTTATTTCAAAAAGCACAAGAACATTATACAAGTTTTTAATTTACATTTTTGCAATAAAAGATATCAATATATGAATTATTTGTATAATTTCATCATGGATGGAATTTGAATCAGTGGTATAAACATGTTGCAGTCACTACATATAGATCATCACAGTGAACCAAAATGCATAGTTGTTATGAAATGACAAATGACCACTGAAAGGTGAACTCACAGCCCATACACCAACATAATAAATTAATTATACAGATATGTTTTTCTTCACTGTATCATTAAAGTTCTTGCCAGCCCCTCAACAAACATTAGAAAAACACAGTTTTGGAGCCATCTGTTGATCCAGTTCCTTCACATACTATACTAAAGAAAATAAAGTGACTCAGTTGCTTGTTTGTAAGTAAACTTCATAAGCATGATTAAATTGTTTGCAATGATGAAGGCAAACCACCAGGACATTAAAATATAATTAAAAATCCCTTGGGCTGGGGGCAGCACTGAGACATATGTTCATCTACAGTGCAGAGGTCTGAATCAATCTCAGCAAGCAGAACTCAATATGAAAGGGGTTCTTTGGCAGTAAAGCTCTGGCTGGCCATTGCCACCTAGTCCTTCTGGCAGCTGGAGAGCTTAATTCCAGGATTTATCAAGTGAGTATAAAAAGACTAGAAATAAAGTCAGTTTATCTTTGCTAAGCTGGGACCACTCAGGGCAGAAGTCAGCATCTTCTGTTGCCTATTCTAGCCCAGACTTCCAGCCAAACAATCCATTCCACAAAATTAAATAAGAAACAAAGGGAAAAGTTCAATTCATTTAACCATACTGGCAAATCTCACAAACTGAATACTGAGTTTCCTGATCCTTGCCCATTAATTACAAATTGTTCGCTAGAGTTGTATCTATTCCTGATAACTTCTCAATAGTAATAATTCAAGTAGAAAATCATGAATGTGATTATGATGCCTGCTCATGCCAATCCTTTACTACAAAATCCACTTTTCTTTACATAGAAATACCAAGAAATCCAGTCCCAAATGTGCACCATTAATCACTTAGCAAATGTATTTTTACCTGCTTGCCTCTGCTGAACAAAAAGAAGGTAGGAAAACATTTACACACATCTATAAGACAATAGTAGCCAAAGGCAAAATATGATATAGTCTTTGAATGCATCTTTCAAACTCCTAACGTTATCCCAGAGACAAGAGAAGCTAAAATGTAGGTTTCAATTTATCTTCTGTCTGCTGTTTTATATCTCAAGTTCTTGATATAAAAAGTTAAAGCCAAGAACCAAGAAGTCTATGCACAGATTCAGGAGAGCTCTATTATTTATAAACAAGAGGCTCAACCACAGCATGTTATAATAGGACGCACACTGTTGATCACATGGCTTTTCTGGTTGTTTATACTAGTTATAAAACCAGAGTTTACGAAAAGGTTGCACACAGATAACAACAAGTATTTGTCTTTTACAAAGACATAGAAGGTTGTAGAACTGGCTTAAATCTGATTGTTTTAATTTACAACTGTCATGTTCTATTCATTGGGAGAATTTTCTTATCCTCATTCTACAAATAGTTTACATCAGAACTGTCACAGGTTTCTGAGAGTCAAATAATGGTGCCACAATCAAGATCCAAGTGATCTCATTATAGAAACTTGCCTTCGGAAAATGGAAAATTTTATTTCAAAACTCAATAAAGCTACTTGTAGACAGAGGTGAGGATTACAGGCTTTCTGTACCATCAGGAATGAATAACGAATACATTGTCCTAACTCTTTTTGATGTCTACAGTGGGAAAAAAGCTTTTCCACACTGGCAAAAATTGCACGCTGTTCACACAGAGATTTAGTTTAATCTGTGGCTAAAGCAGCAGGTGGAACATTAAGGGTGTTTCCTTAAAAGATAAATAAAATATTTACTTTTTTGAAATCTTTCTCAACTAAAGTATACTTATACTGCATGGTTTCTGCAATTCCTCTTTAGCTGCAAGGAGGGCTATCACAGATTATTAGAATCTTGTCAATGATCTGATATTAGCTAAACTAAACTTGAGTAGAAAACATCAAATACAAAATTGCAGAAGACCAAGGTCAAGGGTTTGGAATTCCTTATAGGCCAGCCGTCAATTAAAAAAAAAAAAAAAAAAAATTGCAGAACATGTAAAAATGTCCACAACTGCTTGATGTGACTTCATTTACAAGGTGAACGAAGTGAAATGAAATGGGACAGATTGTGAAGGGGAATTAGTTTCCTGGAAATATTTGTAGAATCTGACACTTGGGGTGAACAAACATTTCTTTAGTGTTCTAGAACATAAAACAGATCAATAATATATGTCCTTTTTTCCTTTGAAGCATATGTTTGCTAATTGAAAGCAATATTCTATTAAGGAATATTTTACTGATGTACGTGAATGTGGACATGGAGTAAAAGACCCTCCAGCACTTCCCCAGCCCTCAGAAAGGTCTCCATAATTTTGAATCAGTCTTTATTACTGTCGTCATTCATGATTGTCTTGAGGCGGAGTTGGAGCTCATAGTAACTGCCAGTTGAATCCAAATAACATCTGATTAGTTTCCTGGCTCCTAGCAATCTCTTCTATAATACAGTGTTGCTGCCAGACCAAATGGAGTTTCCGATACCGCTCACGAGATAAATGAAGGGGGTTGCCCCTCCTTCAGGGGAAAAAAAAAACATGTAAGTTTGAACCAAGTAACAGCTACATTTTTATTGTCTAAATTAGTATGCATTCCTGGAGCTGGGAGGAATCACCAGGACAAGGTTTAAAAAGGGATATTTTCTTTTCACGGTTGATCACTGAGAACTTGATAGGTTACTTAGCTAATGAAACAAAAATTTACTCCTTGACTATTCAGAAAATAGGTCAAGTACGGGGGTACTTCAAAAAGTTCTTGGAAAGATTCATATTATCTTTTAATTCTATTTTTCCATGATCTTTCTGAAACATCCTTGTATACCATGGGCATTATGGGACCTCATTTAAATGGCCAATGAGGTTTATAACTTGAAGCAGCACTATTCTTTTTGGGTTGTTAGCCTGAATAGGGCTCTAATAGCTTTTGGCCTCATATAGCTTCTCCAATTCTGATTTGAGCTTTGCACAGTAGAAGTTAGGACTGAGGTATAACACTAAGTGCTCAAATTATATTCTGCTACTCAGAAATATTTGGTTATAATTGTTCTTATGATACAACAAACTTGCTGGTGATTAGCAAATACATAAATAACTACATTTCTAGGGGTGAACAGTTTGCAACACAATATAACAGCTAATCCAAAATGACTAAAGTTTGGCTGTTGCCAATAATGGAGAACTGTGAGACCCTCCTCATTCCTTGAAGCATTCAAGTGTCTCAGCTGGTTGGGAATTTTCAAACTGCCTCATTAATTTAAAAATTCTGCTTCTTTGTACCTTTCTAGAACAATTCAGATTATCCTCAGTCTTTAACTACTTTCACCATCAGTTTTTTTCTCCTTAAACCTAAAGACAGGTCAAATGTTGTTACACTCTATGTCAAAGAGATCCCAAATCCCATTTAGTGAGCCTGTTCATTCTGAGCAATATTTCAAAAGAACAAAATTTCAGTTAAACAAAAAGACAGTTTATTATAAAGGGATCTAATCTTTGTATTTACTTTTGGGTTACTGTTAAAGAGGCCTTACTGCCTCATTTATCATAAGCCATTAGTAGGACCCCAGATCCTACCTCGGGGAAGAACATGAAAAGTATTCTACACTTCAGTACTACACTTCAATCCTAGGGATGAACAGTTTGCAACACGATATAACAGCTAATCCAAAATGACTAAAGTTTGGCTGTTGTATTCTATACTTCTAAATATTTCGCTAATGTTCAGAAGCAAAGATGATTGATATAGCTGGCTAATAAAAAGTTTCAAGTATTGCAATGGAAATAATAAATATCTACTATAAACCAAACTCCACCACTGGACACTACAAATTTCTTTCTTTGATATAACCTTCTAAGTAATTCTGAAGAAAGCTTGATTAAAATAATAGAAAATTCAAACATTAGGATGGCTGGTGTCTTTAAAATTTTTGGAGAAGTATTACCTTTAAATGTTGGAGAAGCACAAAGTTATCGAAAGTTATGTATTACATTTAGGATGGCATCATATTTCTTTAAATTTATAGCTATTAAAAAATATCTCTCAATATTTAGCATTAGTTTGTGTTTAAAGAATTATTATCCACATATAATAATGTGACTATAATTTAAAAAAAGGACAATATAGAAAAGAACTGAAATCTTCCTATCAAAAGAAAAACTTACTTCAGGCCAGGGTCTGTTTCTCCATATTCATCCAAGTAAGGAGCTGGATAGGCACAACCTCTGGCTTTACCTTCAACCAGGACCACTCTGCATTCTCTGATTCTGAAGGAAAAAGAACCAACAGGAAGTATTATTAAGTGTATGTGTCCAAATAATAGACACTTCATTAAAGTTAATCTAGAGAATAGATATGGCCAGTATCTGTTAGGAATTCTGTGCATAGACAGATAGACTAAATTGTGTTTTGTCTAAATAAAAGAGAACAAACATTGCTATTTTTGTTGAAGCTATAGGAAAGAATTAGTGGATTTAGGGAAATGAGATCCATAATACCGACTGAACACACTGAAGGGAGACAGGAGGCTGTCTTACTTAAACCACAGACACTGAAAAATGGTGGCTGGGGTTGTTTCTGTTCTATTTCCTGAATCACAACCTGGAGAGGGGAGGGAGCATAATAAGAAAAGAACATGTCCTAGTCTGATAACCTCAGGCCAGACAGAACATTAACTGGGAAAGTGCAAAAGGTTTTCTGATTAGAGCCAGCCTCCAATAGTGCAGATTAAAAAGAACCACTGCCACCTTGAAGGCACTTGGGACTCTTACAGCAGAGAAATGGAGGCATAAAAAAAGCTTGTGTACATGTAGACAGAAAGGATAAGTAATATGTAGAGAAATTATAGAATAAATAGCTGGGATAGGTAGTGAGTTTACTTGCTGTGGGTTCCCTAGAAGAAAATAGGTGTTTGGGTTTGGCTTCCACGCACTCTTTCCCCTTGGTCCAAAAGATGCCTATGAGTAATGATTATACATTCCACAGTTAGCAAGCTATTTGGGTTTATTTATTTATGTAAATAGAAACTGCATTACATGGCAAGAATGGAAAGAAAAGCATACAAATCCACTTTGAAGTTTATTACTCTCTCTCAGGCAACTTATACTCTTTTTTCATATATGTTAGTGACTATTTTTTTACTCTCAATCTTTGCTGAAAGACCAGGGGAAATAGTGGATTGAAGAGGAAATAAACTCAAAACATTTAAAGGACAACCTAAAGTAACAATCTACATGTACTTTTTAAATATAAGTTTTAGGACTCCAAGTTCTTTCCTTATACCTGAGTATTACACAACACCACAGTAATTAATACAAAGTCTATCCTATTTGTTTCCACAAATAATGGAAATGTAAAGAGAATCCTACCTTTTTTTCCCCCATACTACTTATTCTGTAATATCTTCTTTGTTGTTGTTTTTGTTTTTGTTTTGATGGCTGGCCAGTACCTATAATATCTTCTTAAATGCAATTTTCTGTGAATAACAGATTTATACTTCTAACTTCTGATCAATTACATCCTGTCAACACACTGTGCTGCCATAATGGCCTCCAGATTGGATCCAGATTCCCTAAGTTCATTATGAAGCTTCCAGATCACTCACTACTCACTTTAGGAAAATGCAGACTCCTGCTCCACAGTGAAGTGCATGAAAAATGCAAGCTCCGACTTCTTCCCCATTTACAATTTCTTGGCAGCAAATGTTCTGAGAACATAGTATGGCCCCACAGAAAAGACAGAGGACTGGATGCTTTCGTTCATCATCTGCGGACCGTGGGCACCTCGAAAGGGAAGGAAACATTTAGTATGGTGGAAATACAAAAAAAAAAGCACCATATATTCACTTAGCAATGAAGCTTGTTTTCATCACTGGCCACCTTCCAGCAAAGAAAGCTCTTAAAACACAAGGAAACATTTAATTAGATTATTCCTCTTTAATACTTCCCCCTAAGAGAACTTAACAAAAAATCTTCTGATAAATCCATGGTAAATCTATTATTAAATATATGGTGTCCTGATAATTTTCATAAAGTCTGGTGATTAAATATGCCTTGCAATTGAGATTTACAGAATCCAGTCTTCATCTGACATGACCAATTTCCAGTCAATTGCCTCCCCTGTATTGCGTTAGTCAGTCACACTTGTGTCCTTAATGTTCTCCTATCTCTGCTGTATAATGGACACAATGGGAAACATCAAGAATTCCTTAATTTGGGCAGTAAAAAATAAATGCAATTAGAGGAGAGATCCAACAGTGCCCACACTGGGGTCAAAATAAAGAGCATCAAAAAAGAATTTCCAATAGGGTATTGACAGTTTATATTCTGAAGCCCAGTTTCTCAGGCAAAATAAAACCACCACCGTCTATGTAGAAGCATTGGAACTCTATGTATAGGCACATTCCATTTCTGGTAAGGAGGGGGCTATTTACACTGCTGGGGAGCGGTGCTTCAGAATATAATTACAGCCCTATTTGGGTAAAGCCAATATCTTTGACCTTTAACGGGATGGCTGAGTCCGAGTTACTAGCCATTCTAGAGAGGAAAAGGGGGGAGGGTGCCTAAAGTATAGCAACTGAGCAGCCAGCCTCCAACTAGAGATGCTTCAGCCTTAATGGAAACTGGTGGTGACACTAAAACTGGAAGAGATCATAGGATTTATTTTCATTCTTACTTGAAACTAGTAAGTAGTAATATCGTCTAGGAGGATCTTCACTGTGATTAAAGACTTAACACTCTTCTCAGATCCCCCTAGGAGCCAAAAACTTGATACCCTTTAAGCTTGGAAGCTAATACCTATTCACTGGGTTTTTGTGGTAGCAATGATTAGGAGAATCACTTAACTTAGAACTGGATGCAATTTTTGAAATTATCTAGCTCATTTTTTTGAGGGTGGAAAGGTAAAGCAACTCATCCATACCTTTAGCTGGCTGCCTAGCAAGGGAACTACAACATCGACATTAATTTTCTGGTAATGGAGGCTGGAGTGTGGGCTGTCCAGTCTTCTGCTGGGACAGTTAAATCCTGTGGCCTCATGAATTAAAGCAATGGCTATAATTAAATAAGAGAATGTCCTTAGTCATTCTGCAGGGCAGTGATTCTCAGAGAGGGCCAAAGAAGAGCTCTGCAAGTCCTCAAAATGATTCTAAACTACAATCCCTTTCTCTGATTCCTTCAAAAAATCACAAGTTATTTAAAGTATGACTAAGGATTACTACATCAAAGCAGTTAATTAGGGTTACTAATTGGTATCCTTAAAAAAATATATAAGAGTTATTTGTGTTTCCTGAGAGCACTAATTAATTTACTAAGAAGTCTGGCTGATGCACAATGCTTAGTAACATTACAAAACTCCTAACTGAGCTTTGGAATTCCTGCAATTTGGAATTCCAAATTGCAACTCCAATTTGTAGCCCTAGGAATGTTCCCTCCCTCTGTTGGATCATGGCACTACTGTGGTCTTTCTTTCCTGCCTTCCCTTCTCTCTTAGCTCCCACATAGGAGTGAGCACATGCGGTATTTATCCCTCTGTGCTTTGCTCGTTTCACTCAATGTAAGTTTCTCCAGGTTCATCCATGTTGTTGCAAATGGGAATATTTCATTCTTTTCTATGGCATAGTATTCCATAGTGTATAAAATACCACAGTTTCCTTATCCAATCATCTATTGATGGACATTTAGGTTGGTTCCATGTCTTGGCTATTGTAAACAGAGCTGCAATAAACATGGGAGTGCAGGTATCTCAACATGATGACTTCCATTCCTCTGGATATACACCCAGAAGAGGGATTGCTGGATCATATGGAAGATCTATCTGTAGTTGTTTGAGAAACCTCCAAATTATTTTCCAAAGCGGTTGTACTAATTTACAGTCCCAACAACAGTGCAGTAGTATTCCCTACTCTCCACACCCTCGCCAGCATTTGTTATTCACCGTCTTTTTGATTACAGCCAGTCTAACTGGAGAGAGCTGGTATCTCAATGTGGGTTTAATTTGTATTTCCCTGATGAGTAGTGATGTTGAACATTTTTTCATGTATCTGTTGGCCATTTGTATGTCTTCCTTTGAAAAATGTCTATTCAGCTCCTTTGCCCATTTTTTAATTGGGCCATTAATTTCTTTACTGTATACCTGCTTGAGTTTTATGTATATTCTGGATATTAGTCCCTTGTCAGATGCATAGTTGGCAAAAATTTTCTCCCACGCTACAGGTTGTCTTTTCACTCTGCTGATTGTTTCTTTTGCTGTGCAGAAACTTTTTAGTTTGATATAGTCCCATTTGTTTATTTTTTTCTTTTGTTGCTTGTGCTTTCGGGCTCATGTTCATAAAGCCTGTGCCCAGACCTAACTGCTGAAGTGTTTCACCTATATTTTCCCTTAGTAATTTTATAGTTTTGGGTCTTATAACCTAGGTCTTTAATCCACTTTGAGTTGATTTTAGTGTATGGTGAGAGATGCATATCTAGTTTCATTCTTCTGCATATGGATATCCAGTTTTCCTAGCACCACTTGTTGAAGAGGCAATCTTTTCCCTGATGTCCTTTCACTCTGTTTCTTTTGCTGTGCAGAAACTTTTCATTTTGATATAGTCCCATTAGTTTATTTTTTCTTTTGCTGCTTGTGTTTTTGGGCTCATGTTCATAAAGCCTGTGCCCAAACCTAACTGCTGAAGTGTTTCACCTATATTTTCCCTTAGTAGTTTTACAGTTTCAGGTCTTATACCTAGGTCTTTAATCCATTTGGGGTTGATTTTAGTGTATGGTGAGAGATGCATATCCAGCTTCATTCCTCTGCATATGGATATCCAGTTTTCCCAGCACCACTTGTTGAAGAGGCAGTCTTTTCCCCAATGTAGATTTTTGTTGCCTTTGTCTAACATCAGATGGCTAAAAGCCCGAGGAGTGATTCTGGCTTCTCAATTCTACTCCACTGGTCTGAATGTCTATTTTTATAGTAGTACCACGTTGTTTTGGTTACAAGAGCTTTGTAGAATAATTTGAAGTCAGGCAGAGTTATGCCTCTGGCTTTGTTTTATTTGCTCAGGATTGATTTGGCTATTCAGGGTCTTTTGTTTTTCCATATGAAAGGTAAGCTTGTTTTTTCCATTTCTGCATAGAAAGTCATTGATATTTTGATGGGGATTGCACTGAATCTGTAGATCACTTTGTGTAATATAGACATTTTCACAATGTTAATTCTTCCAATCCAAGAGCATGGAATATCTTTCCATCTTTTTGTGTCTTTAATTTCTTTCAGAAGTGGTTTGTAATTCTCATTGCAGAGGTTTTTCACCTCCTTGGTTAAATTGATCCCTAGGCATTGTATTTTTTTGGTGACAATTGTAAATGGGCTTACTTTCGTTATTTCTCTTTCTGTTAATTCATAATTTGAGTATATAAATGCTACTGATTTGGGAGCATTTATTTTGTATCCTGCAATGTTACTGAAGTTATTAACCAGGTCTAGGAGTCTTTTGATAGAGTCTTTAGGTTTTTCTATATATAGTATCATGTCATCTGCAAATAGTGAAAGTTTGACTTCATCTTTTTCAATCTGGATTCCCTTTCTTTCTCTTGCCTGATTGTTCTAGCTAGTACCTCTAGTACTATGTTGAATAGAAGTGGTGAGAGTGTACATCCTTGTCTTGTTCCTGTCCTTAAGGGGAAGGCCTTCAATTTTTCCCCATTCAGAATAATCTGGCAGTGGGCTTGTCATAAATGGCTTTTATTGTGTTAAGATACTTTCCTTCTATACCTAATTTGTTGGGAGACTTTATCATGAAGGAATGTTGAATTTTGTCACATGCTATTTCAGCATCTATTGAGATGATTATATGGACTTTGTCCTTGAGCTTGCTGATGTTATCACATTTATTGACTTTCATATATCGAACCACCCTTGCATCCCTGGGATGAATCCCACTTGATCATAGTGTATAATTTTTAAAATATATGTTGCTGTATTCAAATTGCTAATATTTTGTTGAGGTTTTTAGCATCTAGGTTCATCAAGGATATTGGCCTGTAATTTTCTTTTTTTGTTGTGTCTTTATCTGGTTTTGGTATCAGAGTTATGTTGGCCTCACAGAATGAGTTTGGGAGAGTAGTGTCTATTTCAATTGTTTGGAACAGTTTCATGAGAATTGGTATTAACTCCTCTTTAAAAGTTTGATAGAATTCAGCTGTATAGCCATCCAGACCAGGACTTTTTTTTTGTTGGAAAATTGCTAATTGCCGCTTCAATCTCCTTGCTTGTTATTGGTCTGTTCAGGTTTTCAATCTCTTCTTGGTTCAGTCTTTGTAATTTATATGTGTCTAAAAACTTATCTGTATCTTCCAGATTTTCAAATTTGTTGTCATACAGTTGTTTATAATAGTCTCTAATGATTCTTTGTATTTCTGTGGTGTCAGTTGTAATGTCTCCCTTTTCATTTCTGATTTTTGTTATTTGGGTCTTCTCCCTCCGTTTTTTTTAATCTAGCTCATGGTGTGTCTATTTTATCTTCTCAAAAAAACAACTTATAGTTTTGTTGATCTTATCTATTTTGGGGGGGGTCTCTATTTCATTTAATTCTGCTCTGATCTTAATTATTTCTTTCTGTCTACTGCCTTTAGGTTTGGATTGTTGTTGTTTTTCAAGTTCTTTGAGGCATGGCGTTAGGTCGTTTATTTGGAGTCTTCCCATTTTTTTTTGATATAAGCATTTACTGCAATAAATTTGCCTCTTAGTGCTGCTTTTGCAGTATCCCACAAGTTTTGATATGATGTATCTTTATTTTCATTAGTTTCTAGAAATTTTTTGATTTCCTGTTTAATTTCTTCTTGGACCCACAGGTTATTCAGGAGCCTATTATTTATTTTCGATGTACTTGTATAGCTTCCAGCAATTTGCTTATTGTTTATCTCCAGTTTTAGTCCAATGTGGTCTGAAAAGATTGTTGGAATGATTTCAATTTTTTAAAATTTGCTGAGACTAGATTTGAGACCTAATATGTGGTCTATCCTGGAGAATGTACCATGAGCTAATGAGAAGAAAGTGTATTCTTTAGCTGTTAGGTGAAATGTTTTGTATATATCTGCCAAGTCCAGTTGGTCTAGAGTGTAGATTAAATCCTGTGTCTCTTTGTTGACTTGTTGCCTGGAAGTCCTGTCCCATACTGAGAGAGGGGTGTTCAGATCACCCACTATTAATGTATTGAGTCCTATCTCCTTCTTTAGGTCTACGGGTGTTTGCTTAATATATCTGGGTGCTCCAGTATTGGGTGCATACATGTTTATGATGGTTATGTCTTCTAGCTGGATAGTTCCCTTTATCATTATATAATGGCCTTCTTTGTCTTTTTTAATGTTTTTTGGTTTAAAGTCTATTTTGTCCGATATAAGAATAGCTGCTCCTGCTCATTTTTGGTTTCCATTTGCATGGTATATCTTTTTTCATCCCCTCACTTTTAGTCTATGAGTGTCTATACAGGTGAGGTGGGTCTCATGAAGCATATACTTGGGTCTAGCTTTTTAACCAGTCAGTTAATCTGTGTCTTTTGAATGGGGAGTTTAGTCTATTCACATTCAGAGTAGTTATTGAGAAGTGTTGTTTAATTCCTGTCATTTAATTGCTACTTGTTTAGGTGGTTTAAATATCTTTTGATCATTATTTCCCCTTTTATTTCTCTCCTTCAATGTGAGTTGGGAATTTACAGTGGAATAATTTAGCTTCTTTCTCTTTCTTGCTGGCATTTTTGTTTTAACTGTGGGTTTTGCTCTTTCTTGTGTATTTGTGATGATGGTAACCATATTCAGATTCCAGATGAATGACTCCCTTGAGAATTTCTTGCCAGGCTGGTTGTGTGGTGGTGAACTCCCACAACTTTTGTTTATCTGGGAAATACACTATTTCTCCCTCGTGTCTGAAGGAGAGCCTTGCTGGGTAAAGAATTCTTGGCTGGCAGCTTTTTTTAGTATTTTAAATATATCATTACACTTTCTTCTGGCCTGTAGGGTTTCAGTTGAGAAGTCTGCTGTTAGTTTGATGTGGGTTCCCCTATAACTGACCTGACACTTTTTTCTTGCTCCTTGTAGAATTCTCTGTCTTTGAGCTTTGCAAATTTTACTATAATATGTCTTGGGGAGGATCTTTTTGGGTTGAATCTGTTTGGGGACCTTTGAGCTTCCTGGATCTGAAGGTCTGTCTCTTGCCCTACACCTGGGAAGCATTCTGTTACTATTTCCTTGAGTAGGTTTTCAATACATTTTCCTTTCTCCTGCCCTTCAGAAATACCCACAATTTGGATGTTAGAGTGTTTGAGGTTGTCTGCTGTCTCTCATAGGTTTTCCTCATTATTTTTAATGCTTTTTTCTTCGTCTGCCTGACTTATTTCAAAAAGACCATCTTCAAGCTCTGAAGTTCTTTCTTCTGCTTGCTCTACCCTGCTGCTCAAGGCCATAGTTGTGTTTTTTTATTTCACTGAGTGAGTCTTTCATTTCTAGAAGTTCTGCTACACTCTTTTTATGGTATTAATCTCTTTGTAGATTTCCTCCTTCATATTCTGGATGTTTTTTTGTTTGTTTGTTTCATTGTGCTCTCTAATTGAGTCTTCCTTTATTTCTTCATGTTTTCTTAAGATCATTGCTCAAAATTCTTTTTCAGACATTTCAAGGATTCCCTGAGTCTGACTTTGGGGCATTACTGTATCCTTTTGGTGGTGGCACTTCTTCTTGACTGTTTATGTTTCTAGTGTTTTTTCGCTGATGCTTGGTCATTTGGTAGGGTGTTTGCTTCTTCTATTACACTGAGGTTGGCTGTGGAGTGGCCTTGGTTGCTACTGTGGGGGATGAATTGTCTTTGCTTGACAGTAGGTGTGGTGGAGGTTATGTTAAACCACCTTGGTCCCCGTTCTATACTCTGTGGTCGTAGAATGAGCCTCTAGCATGTGGAGTTCTGCTGGGCCAAACTCAGTGGATCGGAACCGTAGGTTGGTGCTCCCCCCTGGGTCTGCCACGAGATGTGGGGCTGCGTGGAGCTGCGTGGTTCCACTGGCTGGTGTTGCTGCCAGCCGCCCCCAGTGGGCTCATCTGCGTGGTGCTGGTGCAGGGCGCAGGTGCAGGGCCTGTAGCTCCCCCCTGCCTGGGTCAGAGGCAGCAGGGTGAGGGAGCCACGTGGAGTCACGGTTCCACTGGCTGGCAGGTGGGTTCACCTGCGCAGTACCAGTTCAGGGTGTGGGGGTGGGGCCTGGAACTCCCGAAGTGCCCGGGTCCAAGGCGGGGACGTGAGAGAGCTGCATGGAGCTGTGGTTCCTCTGGCCAGCACAGGCGTGCCCATTGTGTGAGGCTGGTTCAGGGCATGGGGGCGGGGTCTGGAGCTCCCCCACTGCCTGGGTCCGAGGCGGTGGGGTGGGGAGGCCACGTGTAGCTGCCCAGTTCTACCGTCTGGTGCTGCTGCCGGTGTTCTCCCCTGCGCGTTGCTGGTTCAGGGTGCAGGGGCAGAGCCTGGAGCTCCCCCCCTGCATCAATAAAGTCTTGAATTGGCTTTGTTTTTCAGGCTGCTGAGATTCTTGTCTTTTAATTACAAGTTACTCCTAGTTTCTTGTCACCTTATCAATTTGATTTGCTATGGGAGGTGATGTTATGCCACTTCAGTATCCAGGATACACAATTGCATTAATAAAAGCTTTGACTTATTATTATGATGCATTGTGAACCAAATATGAAATATTCACATCCCAGTGGCTAAAGCAGATACAAACAAAAGACCTCCATTCAGTGACATCTCATTGGTAGTGTGCTGCTCATGAATTTATGCTGTTCAAATAACTTATATGCTTATAAAATTATTAGTTACCAGGGGATAGGGGATGAGGAGGATAGAAAGTGATTAGTGGGTATAAGGTGTTTCTCTGGGGTGGTGGAAAAGTTTTGAAACTAGAGACAGGTGGTGGTTGTACAACATTGTGAATACAATAAATGCTACTGAATTAAATACTTTATTATGGTTAATTGTAATGTTATGTGGATTTTACCTCAATTAAAAAAAAAGATTGAGAATCACTATTATAGAGAATCTCTGTGGTCGCTTTAAATAAAGTAAGTTTGTTAGTGGTGGTGTAGATCAATTGTAAGCTCAGAAAAAGATTTAAAAGATTTACACACACACACACACACACACACACACACACACACACACACACTCTTCTTCTTCTTCTTCTTACCTGAAATGAGAAGCTTGATTTAAGAGGCAACTATAGTCATCAGGAAGGTCTATCAAACTATTTCTTTTTCTAGGATACCTAGAAATATAATTTAAAGGCAATTTTATTTATGAGTAAATAAGCCCAGATAAAAAAATGACCAAGGTGATAGAAGGAAGAATATCTTAAAAATAATGAAAGGATCTATACTTACAATCCAAAGTAATTCCTACTGTTGACTAGATTAAATCCAAACTTCTCAGCCTAGAATTCCAAATCTTTCATCAGCAGGCTTCCTTTCCAAACTCAACTCCCACTCTTTCCTAAGACTAAATTGTTCCAGCAAGATTTCTATACTGACTAGGAAGGTAACATAAAGTAATTGTTAAGAACACAGCCTTTGAAATCAGACCTGGTCACAAATACTAAACTTGCTGACACTTGGTAAGTCTCCGAACCTAAGCCTGTATTTCCTCATTTGTAAACTGGGCATGAATATATTATACTCTAATCATGGGCACACTATCAATTTAATAACAAGTTTTCAGGACAAAAAAGAAAAGAGAAACATTACATTAAATGAACTCATACTGATTTAAGAAATATTAAATATGAATAATAGTATCAAAGAAACTCACAGAGGTGTTGAGAACTAAATGAGATACTAAAGTGAAACATAACATACTTAGCACTTGATAAATGTTTGCAAGTGTTATTGTTCGTTCCTATCACACTAAGCACAATAAAAGCCTTGCCTGCATGCCTTGGGGAAGATTGACTAACATGAAATACAGGACAGCCACTGTAAGAAAAAAACAATTGTAGGAAGAGTCTAATTTCTGGCAAAGACCTACCAGAAATGTAGGAAACAATGTACTGAGAATGAAGAAGGCAGACTAGAAAGTATGCTCAATGAATCAACTCCTTTAGGAAACACAACTTGTGGACGGGAGGAAAAAGGATTGAATAATAAAACCAACCTGACCACAGTGCTTTTTTGCTTCAAACAGTTTAGTAAAGCAGGATCTGCACACCACCTGTATGTGGAGCCAAGAGAAAAAGCTAATGACAATTAGACAGGAGAAATAAATTCTGGTGTTCTATTGCACAGTAGGGTGACTATGGTTAACAATTAAGTTTTGTATATTACTTAACAGCTAGAGGAGAGGCTTTTTAATGTTCTCCCCGCAAAGAAATGATAAATGCATAAGGTGACTGATACATTAACTACCCTGGCCCAATTATTATACAACATATATATATCAAATATCAGACTGTACCCCATAGGTATGTACAATTACACTGTATAAGTTAAATTAAAATTAAAAAAAAACAAAAAACTAAAACAAATGGATCCTCACAACTTCAGTGCAGTCAGTATCTGTCAAAAAGCCATTGTCTCTAATTCTTTGTGTTCCCCCTTCTACATTTCTTTTCTTACATCTTGCCCCTTTTCTTCCCCCTTTCTTTCCTCCCCTTCTTTTTTGTGTCTATTTATTTTTTCCCGCTTTTATTGATTTCTTTTTTTTTTTTTTTCCTTTTTGTCTTTTTTCGTGACAGGCAACGGATCACAACCCTCAGTGTCGCGCCCGTACCGGACCGGGACCGGCCACGGGATCGCAACCCTCGGTGTTGCTCCCGCCCCTCGCTCAGCCAGTGAGCAGCCGGTCTGCATGTGGGATCCGAACCTCGGCGGGAGCGCCACCGCGCTTCCCGAGCGGCGCACTATAGCAGTGCGCCACCGGGCCGGCCCTATTGATTTCTTTTTTAAAGGGTATAGCAACCAAGGTCTTCCTAGAAAAATACAGAAACTATTCTAAGTATTTATATAAGAGAATTTTATACCAGGAAGTATGCTAAAAGTAATGAAGGGTTGAGAAACCAACCATAAGACAAAAAGGCAAGGCAACCTAAGGATTACCACCCCCTCCCCACTCAGGCTGGAGTAACAACAGAAAACAGTGGTATTATTGAAGCCCAGGGACTAGGATTGCTAGTGGAGTATAGAATCACAGTAGGCTTATCTGGTGGGAACTAGAGCCAGAGAAGAACTCTGTTACTGCCAGCGTAATAACTTCGTATAGCATACATTATACGAAGTTATACGACTATTTCATTTAATTCTGCTCTGATCTTAATTATTTCTGTCTACTAATTTGGGGATTGGATTGTTTCCATTTTTCTAGTTGTTTTACATGTAACATTAGATTGTTTATTTGAAATCTTTCTACTCTTTTGATGTAAGTGTTTATTGCAATAAACTTCCCTCTTTATACTGCTTGTGCAATGTACCACAGTTTGTGGTATGATGTGCCTTTATTTTTGTTAATTTCAAGAATTTATTTTTATTTCCTGTTTAATTTCTTCTTGGATCCATAGGTCTTTCAGTACCATGTTGTTTAATTTCCTACATAAATCCTGATCTGAGGATGGAGGGAAAAAGAGATTGATTAAAGAAAAAGGAGAAATAAAAAGGCAGAGAATGGGCGCCCGGTGGAGCACTGCTACAGTGCGCCGCTTGAGAGCGCGGCGGCACTCCCGCCGAGGGTTCGGATCCCACATACAGACCGGTTCCTGCTCACTGGCTGAGCAAGGTGCGGGCGCAGCGCCGAGGGTTGCGATCCCGTTGCCGGTCCGGTCCGGTACGGGCGCGACACTGAGGGTTGCGATCTGTTGCCGGACACGAAAAAAGACAAAAAGGAAAAAGGAAAAAAAAAAAAAAAAAAGGCAGAGAAGCAAGGAGATTAAAGAAAATCACAGGGGAAATAAAGTAAGAGTAACAGCATGAGAACTGTTTATAAAAATGATGGAAAATGTGTAGGCAAAGATAGGGTAAGGAGACGAGTGGTTGGGAGGGTTGACAGTGAACAAGAAGGCCAGTAAATAATGAGATGGAAAGGAAGTTTTTCTGAAGGGAAGACACACTTCTCTCTGATACATCTTTGTATCACAAAATGACTTTCCCTCTATCTTAAGTTACCCTCCTGAGATATGTTCTACAATATGAAATATGCTACCGTTTTGGATATAGCCCCAATTTGGGTTCTTTTGATACTTAACTGTGACTTTATGTCTGCTAGCAAAATTTTCCCCCAAATTGAAATTGGGATGAGACACCAGCTGTGGGGAAAATAAATAAAATGAACCGTAGTTATGTGGAGTAGGCAGGAATTCCAATTGCCCATGGTGCTGTTCTTATTCTTATTCCTTAAGTGTGTGAATAAGGAATCTCTTATACCTCGGTCACCTCTTCAATCAATGCTAATCAATCTTAAAGCTTACCAAATAATAATAATTAAAAATTTTCAAACTGTATAATAACAATGATGTTTTGTCCCTACAGTACCTCTGGAGCAAGGGCCTTACAGTATCCCAATATTCCTGGAAAAGCAGGAACAAATTTGTAGGTAAAGATAGATAGCTACAGAGTGCATTGTACTCTTCCTCTGCAGAATCTGCAAAAGAATAAAAATACACTTAATAAGCATGTTATTCTTACCTGGCCAATCTGTTAAAAGAGGTTCTTCATTGTTTATACTCATTTCTGTACTCTATACGCAGAAAGAATATTTTGTACTCTAGAAAACTGTGGGTGGCATAAAAACCACAGTGATCCTTTTAAAACAAAAGTGACTGCATCATTCTCCTTATTAGATGTTTCCAATGTCTAACCACCACAGTTAGTATAAAATACAAGTACTTATCGTTGCATAAAAGCCCTACATGTTCAGCCCCTGGCTGCTTCTTTGACCTCATCTCCTGCTACCCTCCCCACTGTTTATTAGGCTTCAGCCCGACTCATCTTTTCACTGTTCTTTGACTATGTCAAGCAAAGCCATTGCATTTATTGCTCCTTCTGTTTAGGAATACTCTTCCTTGAACTGTCTGTCTAGTTCAACCCCATCCATGCAGCTCTTTGTTCCGTGTCTCCTCACAGAGAAGCGTTCCATACTTATGCCAAAGAGTTCCCCAGATTGGGACTCTCTATTCCCATGACCTGCTTTATTTTTCTTTGCACCACTTATCACCATTTGACATTATATTACATATATTTATCTGTTTGTTTATATTTGGTTTCTTCCCAGTAAAAGAAAGGACTTTATTTTCTTCACTGCTGTACTGTAGCATCTACTATATAAATAAATACACATTTGTGTGTGTGTGTGCAAACAATAGATCTGCACTGGCAATTACCTGGAAAGTGGAGTCCTATTTTATGGAGACATGATAAACCTAGATTAGATAAACTCTATTGAACTGAGTTCAAGATAATGATGCTAACAGCCATTAAAATTGACTAGTCAGTTTATTTTCAAAGGACAAAAGTAAAAATCTCTGAGTAATTTTGCTGACTCTTCGAAAAGCATACAAATGTTCTGATTTTTACCCATACAAAGCCACAAGAAAGCCTTCTACACTTTGGTCAAGATTTAGAGGAAAGTAAATGAAAAAGAAAATGATCCTGTTGCTTAAATATACACAGCCTTGCTTGATTCCAGCAGGCTTTTCCCAGCAGCATTTTATTTCTTTAATATGGTCATATGTTCAAAATTCAAATAACGGTATACAATAAATAAAGTCTTCTTCCTATCTAGCTAAACAGTTCTCTTCCCAAAAGGCAACCAATGATTCTAACTTCTTGTATATCAATCAGTTATATTTTCCATGCAGGCATTTTATACGCTCAAGTATATAAACTATACATAGATAGGAGCCAAGAGTAGATCTTGCAGATTATGAGGCTAATCGGGTTTTTGGCCTTACTATTAACATTAGGACAGAAGCACACATGTTTGGGGTGAACACAGGTGAAAGAGGTAGGAAATACAGAAGCAGTTTTGCCTACTCTAACCTTGCATTCTTGAGCTCGAAGTTAAGAACAAAAAAAGTCTACCATTTTCTATTCTGTTATTTCAGTTTTCTACTTACTGGTTAGCAGTTCTTCAGGTGGAGTTACCCCAAGTAAATAGTGGAAAAACAGTGCAGCACAGCGAAGGTAAGGGGTGATGCCATTCTTCAATGAAACCCACAAATACCAGCCAGGAATACCACACCCAATGCAGCTAAGAGACAATAATTCCAGAATAGAACAGAAGACTTATCAGACTAAAACCCCAGATTTTAAGCACATCCTCTATCAAAAGCATAGCTAAACATTTAAATAATTTATTACCCATTTAATTTTTATACATTTAAAACAAAATACTTAACTAGCTAGTAGCTTCAGTGTTTAAATCTAATAATTTCCTAAAGAAAGCCACAGAACTTGTGCATTTTTAAGGCAAAGAACTACTCTATTTTTCCTAGGTGGATATCAAACACAAAGGCAAAACAAAGACAAAAAGGTGACCAAAAAAGAATCTACTTTAAAGAAACTTGACTATAAAAAAAAGTTCACTCTTCAACATTAAACTTAAAGCTTGCTAAAGCTTTCATTTTTTTTGAGATTACAAAACTTTGTAATGAAATGTAAAGAAGAAAAATTTATCTGTAACTAATCAAAGGAACTGAGTTAGTTACAGAAATTAATACTTGCCTGGTTTTTATAATACAATTGAGTGGTGATTTGTAGGGCAGTGAAACTATTCTGTACAATATTTTAATGACACAGAGACTGAACACTATTGTAAGCCATGGATTTTAGTTAATAATGTATCAGTACTGGTTCACCAATTGTAACAAATGTATCACAAGATACAAGACATTAATAATGAAGAAACTGGGGGCAAGTATATGGGAACACTGAACAATTTTTCTGAAAACCTAACACTGCTCTAAAAAAGTCTATTAAAAAAAAAAGAACCATATGAATAATAAGGGAAATTGGTAGAAAGAAGGAGTAAATGGGAACTGTATTTTCTACTCAATTTTTCTGTAAACCTAAAATGGTTCTAAAAAACTATTAACTTAAAAAAAAAAAAAAAGACTGGTAAAGAAGATGAAAACAAAGAGGGAAACTTGGCAGAAGATCATTCCTACTGTACTTTTGGTTTTAACCTTTATTCAGAGGTAAAATATACAGGCAGTCCCTGACTTACAACGGTCGGACTTAAGATTTTTTGACTAAATCATACAGGTTCATGGGGTATTAAATGCATTTTCAACTTATGATATTTCTGACTTATGATGGGTTTACCGGGATGTAACCCCATCATAAATTGAGGAGCGTCTGTATATAAATTTCAAGTTATATATAAGTATAAATTATATGTTACATATATAACTATATATTATATAATATATACATATATGTATATATAATATGCATATTAAAATGTAAATGACAATATATTTCCTATATCACTTATAACAGCCTTAAAAAAACCTCCAATTAGTTAAGTGCATCAAGCACATCAACTGTATGGATTTCTATAAAAGACTGACCTATTTTCTACATTTACTTAAATACTGCCATTTGTTAAAATTCTATCATCTTTTGTCTATATTCCCAGAACAGTTTATAAAAGTAAATATGTGTCAAACTTGTTTCAGTCTCAGAAACAAGTTTGTTATTCCAACCTACAGCCTTTTTTTACTTCAAGGTAAAATAATCAAAGTAAATTTTCTTCACTATAAGCCCATCTGTAGCAAATAAAGTCATATACTAAAAGTCCCTAACTGATTTTTTTTTTTTTGTCCTTTTTGAGACCGGCCGCACCGCGCTCAGCCAGTGAGCGCTGTGAGCACACCCGTCATCCCTATATAGGATCCGAACCCGCGGCAGGAGCCCAGTGCCACACTCTCCCGAGTGCGCCACGGGCTCGGCCCAGCCCTTAACTGATTTTTAAAAATTGGAATTAAAATGGTAAGAGTTATACTGCCAAACAATTGAACAAACATGTAAAATTATTAAAACAATACTGAAGTTGACTGGACTAATGAACTGCTACTCACCCACTTGTATATTGAGAAACTTCTGCAAAGAAAGAAGATGCAGAATGAGCCTCTTCACTGTCTTCTTGAACCTGAGCAAGAGGGAGACCTGAAAAAGAAATTCTCAAGATGAATTTACAAATTTGCTATTCAATTTACCAATTAAATGTTAATTTCACGGTTCTAAGATAATACACAATATTGATTCAACTGAATTCTTTTTCTTGTTCTCGATCTAAATAGTTGATTGTGAATATTAAAAATGTTAGGCAAACTTTATCTGTATATTAACTGGAGAAACAAATAGAGCAGAATCACTAAACTTGGATGTCTAATATTTACTTCATTATAGCCTGACCAGAGAAATAAATTAGTGGTCAGCTATCTGCTCTGGGTCCCTAGTAGGTAGAAATTCAACCTCTCTAGAAAGGGAAGTAGGCGGCTGTTCCGCCTTCATGTTCAAGCAAAGAGCCCCATAAAAAGAGCCTTGTGAGGTCATTTTCTTCCATTGACCTATCCTTAAGGAGGATCATCTTAAAACTTTCTGGCAATTGCCAACTCTGCCTCTTACATTAAGGTTCTGGGTAAGCCACTTAAGTTCTCTGAACTTTAATTTTATTGTATTAAAATGGAGATGAAAATGCCTACACCTTGCAGTTTGCTGCAAGGGATAGTTACAACACATTTGAATAGTGCTCTTTTTTTAAAAAAAATGCTTTTGTTTATGCATTAATTCTGAAAGGTCACAATTAAAATTACCCTGAGTAATTTTATCTTATGAATACTGCTAGTTCATTTTCCAAATAAGATCTCTTTAGGAAATACACGTTTTTTTTAAAGAAAAAAATATATCATAGTTCATACTGTTTTTTTTCAATCCAAATGTAAGAGTTCAATATTTGTATATGATTTTTTTTTAATGAGATAAACTTTACATGCAATAAAATGTAGATATTAAGTGCAACATTTGATGAGTATGACAAATGTATACACACAAATAAAATTATTGTGCTTTTTTTTTCAATCAATGAACTTTATTTTTTTAGAGCAGTTTTAGGTTCAGAGCAAAATAGAGTGGAAAGTACAGTGAGATCCCATATACTCCATCCCTACACATGCACAATGTAGGGACCCCATGGGCGCCTGAACAGGGACACACCCTGGCAATATGGCGCCCTTCCTGGTTCTTCTCTGCAGTAAACAAGCTTGCTTATGCCAACACCCAAGCCCACCCGCGCCAAACCTCAGCCAGTCACAGGTCAAGGCTCACCTCCTGCCCAGCCCCATCCAATCAGTTACCACCCCGTCCACTCTCCCTCCCGCCCCGGAGCACAGCACCCTATAAATGTACGCGCAGTCCTTGAATAAAGCGGAACTGCTCTGGCGAACTGTTAGCCCGGGTCTCGCGTGATTCCTTCATCCGTGCGTCCCCTTCACACAACATCCCCCACTATCAACATCCAGCACCAGAATAATGAATTTGTTACAATCAATGAATCTACATTGTCACATCATTATCACCCAAAGTCCACAGATTACATTACTCTTGGTGTTGTACATCATATGGGTTTAGACAAATGTTTAATGTCATGTACCCACCATTATTTACAGAACAGTTTCACTACCTTTAAAATCCTCTGTCCTCTGACTATTTAACCCCTGCCCCCTTTCCTGACAACCACTAATCTTTTCACTGTCTTCACAGCTTGGCCTTTCCCAGAGTGTCATACACAGTTGGATTCATATGGTAGGTAGCCTTTTCAGATTGGCTTTTTTCACTTAGTAATATGCATTTATGTTTCCTCTAGGTCTTTTTATGGCTTGATAGCTCATTCCTTTTTAGCATTGAAGACTATTCCATTGTTTAGATGGATGTACCACAATTTACTTATCCACTCACCCACTAAAGGACATCTTGGTTGCTTCCAAGTTTTGGCGATTATGAATAAAGCTGCAATAAACATCTGTGAGCAGGTTTTTGTATGGAAATAAGTTTTCTTTTTTCCTTTTTAAAATATTTTTATTTAAAGTTTTTTATTTTTATTTTTATTTTTATTTTTTGTCTTTTTTCATGTCCGGCAACAGATCGCAACCCTCAGTGTCGCGCCCGGACCGGACCAGACCGGCAACGGGATCGCAACCCTCGGTGCTGCGCCCGCACCTCGCTCAGCCAGTGAGCGGGAACCGGTCTGTATGTGGGATCCGAACCCTCGGCGGGAGCGCCACCACACTCCCAAGCGGCACACTGTAGCAGTGCGCCACCGGGCCGGCCCTAAAGTTTTTTATTTTAACATTTATTTATACATATTTGTGGGGTACAGTGTGTTGTTTCAATATGTGCATATACTGCACAATGATTCACTCAGGGTAAAAAGCAGTTTTGCTTTCAATTCATAAGGGTAAATACCAAGGAGTATGGCTAATACATTGTATGGTAAGGGTACAGCTTTGACTGCCAAACTGTCTTCCAAAGTGAGTACACCATTTTTGCATTCCCACCAACAACAAATGAGAGTTCTTGTTGTTCTACATCCTCACAAACATTTGAAGTTATCAGTGTTATGAATTTTGGCCATTTTAATAGGTGTGACTAATGTTTGAGATGACTGATATACTAAGCACCTTGATATGATCACTGCACACAGTATGAATGTACCCAAATATCATACTATACCCCATAAATATGTACAATTATCATGGGTCAATTAAGAAAAATAAAAAAGAGAGAGAAAAAAGAGAGAAATAGAGAGTAGAAGAGTGGTTACCAGAGGCAGGGAAGAGAGGGAGGAATTGAGGAAAGATTGGTAGACTGGTATAGAGTTACAAGTTACAGTTAGATAGTAAGAATAAGATCTGGTGCCCTAGGGTGACCATAGCTAACAACATTGTATTGTATATTTCAAGATAGCCAGAAAAGAGGATCTGGACTGTTATAACCACAAAGAAATGATAAATGTTTAGGTGATCGATATGATAACTATTTTGATTAGATAATTATACAATATATGCATGTATTGAAACAACAAAGTTTAACCCACAAACATGTAGAATGAAAAAAATAAGTTAAAAAAAAAAGGTGTGTAGTGATATCTCATTGTTTTAATTTGCAATTTCCTAACGACATACAGATGTTGAACATCTTTCCATATGATCAATTGCCATCTGTATATCTTCTTTGGTTAGCTGCCTGATCCAGGTCTTTTGCCCATTTTTTAACTGGACTGCTTGTTTTCTTACTGTTGAGTGTTAAGATTTTTTTTGTAAACTTTGGATAACAGTCCTTTGTCAGATTGCCTTTGGAAACAGTTTCTCTCAGTCTGTGGCTTGTCTTATTCTCTTGACACTGTCTTTTGCAGAGCAGAAGGTTTTGACTCTACTGAAGTCCAGCCTATCAATTATTTCTTTCATGGAAATTAAAAGGACACAAAAAAATAAAAAGACATTCCATACTCTTGGATTGGAAGAATTTACATTGTGAAAATGTCTATACTATACTCAAAGCAATCTACAGATTCAGTGCAATTCCCACCAAAATCCCAATGACATTCTTCACAGAAATAGAAAAAAAAAAAAAAAAAAAATTCTAACATACATATGGAACGACAAAAACCCCTGAACAGCCAAAGTAATCCTGAGCAAAATAAAGCCATAAGCCTAACACTACCTGGTTTCAAATTATATTACAAAGCTATAGTAACCAAAACAGCATGGTACTGGCATAAAACTGACACTAAGACCAGTGGAACAGAATAGCCAACCCAGAAATCAACTCACAGACTTACAGCCAACTGATCTTTGACAAAGACAACAAGAACATACGTTGGGGAAAAGACTGCCTCTTCAATAAATAATGCTGGGAAAACTGGACATCCATACGAAGAAGAATGAAACTAGACCTGTATCTCTCACCATATACCAACATCAACTCAAAATGGATTAAAGACTTAAATATAAGAGATGAAGGGCCAGCCCGGTGGCGCACTCGGTAGAGTGCGGCCCTTGGGAGTGCGGCAGCGCTCCCGCCGAGGGTTTGGATCCCATATAGAGACCGGTCCACTCGCTGGTTGAGCGCGGTGCGGGCGCGACACTGAGGGTTGCGATCCCGTTGCCAACCGGTCCGCTCGCTGGTTGAGCGCGGTGCGGGCGCGACACTGAGGGTTGCGATCCCGTTGCCAATCACGGTATGGGCGCGACACCGAGGGCTGCGATCCCGTTACTGGTCACGAAAAAAGACAAAAAGGAAAAAAAATATATATATAAGAGATGAAACTACAAAACTCCTAAAAGAAAACATAAGGCAAACACTTCAGGAATTAGGGACTGGGCAGAGACTGAATATGACCCCAAAGCACAGGCAACAAAAATAAAAATAAATAAATGGGATTGTATCAAACTAAAAAGCTTCTGCACAGCAAAAGAAACAATTAACAGAGCAAAAAGACAACCTGCAGAATAGGAGAAAATATTTACAAACTATACATCTGACAGGGGATTAATTTCCAGAATATACAAGGAACTTAATTACACAGAAAAAAACCAGATATCTCAATTTAAAAATGGGCAAAGGAGCTGAACAGGCATTCTTTGAAGGAATTCAAACAATTTAACAGTATAAAACAAGAAACCCAATTTTAAAACGGGCAAAAGAGTTAATTAGGCATTTCTCAAAGATATACAAATGGCTAACAGACACATGAAAAAATGCTCAACATCACCAAGCATCAGGGAAATGCAAATCAAAACTACACTATGATAGCATTTCACCCCAGTTGGACCAGCTATTATCAAAAAGAGAATAACAAATGCTGGTGAGGATACGGAGAAAGGGAAGCTCTCCTACACTGTTGGTGGGACTGTAAATTAGTGCAGCCATTATGGAAAAGAGTATGGAGGTTCCTCAAACAACTACAGATAGAACTGCCACACAATCCAGCAATCCCACTACAGAATATATACCCAAAGGAATGGAAATCATCACGTTGAAGGGATACTGCACTCCCATCTTTACTGCAGCTCCTTTTATAATAGCCAAGAGTTGGAACCAACCTAAATTTCCTTCAACAGATGACTGGATAAGGAAAATGTGGTATATATACACAATGCAATACTACTCTGCCATACAAAAAGAATGAAATTCTGCCATTCACAGCAACATGGATGAACTTAAAGAAAATTATGTTAAGTGAAATATGTTAGGAACAGAAGGAGAAATATCACATGTCCTCACTTGTAAGTGGGAGCTAAAAAAAATAAACAAATAATAAGGATACAATGATCACAATAATTCACTGAACTTGCAAAAGGAAAGAACAGAACTGAGACCACCAGAGGTGGGAAAGGGGAGGGGGTGGAAGGGTTAGCAAGGAATTGGTAAAGGGCCACAAAAAATGATTACATTGTGTAATACTGAATATACTAATTATCCTGATTTGAACATCATATATTGCACACAGGTATGGATATTCAATGCTGTACTCCACAGATATATGCAATCAATTATGTTTCAATAATTAAAAATTTTTTTTCTGTCATGGATCACATCTTTGGTGTCATATCTAAAAAGTTATCACCATACCCAAAGTCATCTACGTTTTTGCCTATGTCATCTCATAGGAGTTTTATAGTTTTGTGTTTTACATTAGGCCTGTGATCTATTTTGAGCTAATTTTTATGAAAGGTATAAGTTCTGTGTCTAGATTCATTTTGTTGCATGTGGATGTCCAGTTGTTCCAGCACCATTTACTGAAAACATTACCTTTGCTCCATTGTATTCCCTTTGCTCCTTTGTCAAAGATCAGTTGACTATATTTTTGTGGGTATATTTCTGGGCTCTGTATTTTGTTCCATTGATCTATTCCTCTATTCTTTTGCCAATACCACAGTCTTTATTAATGTAGTTTTATAGGAAGTCTTGAGGTCAGGTAGTGTCAGCCCTCTACCTTTGTTCTCCTTCAGTACTGAATTGGCTATTCTGGGTCTTTTGCCTCTCTATATAAACTTTAGAATCAGTTTGTTGACATCCACAAAATAACTTGCTGGGATTTTGACTGAAAGATTATTGGGTTCTTACTTAACTTTTCTGATTTTATTCTTGTGTCTCTTCCCTCTTCTACTGAAAATCTTAATTCCCAATGACACTGACATAATTACTTACTTAGTCTATCCTAAAACATCATTTAAAAACAGTTAGTTTCATTTACTGTTTTCAATTTTTAAAAATTATGGGCCGGTCCCATGGTTCACTCGGGAGAGTGCAGCGCTGGTAGCGCCAAGGCCGCGGGTTCAGATTCTATATAGGGAAAGCCGGTGTGCTCACTGGCTGAGCGTGGTGCAGACCACACCGTGCCAAGGGTTGCGATCCCCTTACCGGTCAAAAAAAAAAAAAAAAAAATTTCCCCCATCTTATTTTTTTTTTAGATACGTAAAACATTTCTATGGCTCTAAAATCTAAACTATACTGAAAAAGAACATTCATTGCAGCCTTTCCTTGAATCTTTGTGTCTTTACCTTACCTTAGTGGCAATTATTTTTAGGTTTTTTTTAGTTTTTTTTTTTAAAGATGACCGGTAAGGTGATCCTAACCCTTGACTTGGTGTTGTCAGCACCACGCTCAGCCAGTGAGCTAACCAGCCATACCTATATGGGATCCGAAGCTATGGCCTTGGTGTTATCAGCATCACACTCTCCCGACTGAGCCACAGGCTGGCCCTAGTTTTTTGTTTAAACTTCTGTTGTTCCTATTATAAACAACATGAGCAAATACGAATATATGTAATATATACACACATAAAATACCTTCACAAAAGTGCTATACTATAACCATTGTTCCATGCCCTGCCTTTTTTACTTAATAATATATCCTGGAGATTATTCATATCAATAGATCTTGTTCATTTCTGTTTATAGCCACATAGTATTCCATTACATGGATATACCACAGGTTATTCTACCAATTCCCCATTAACAGACAACTGAATTGTTTCTGGTTTTTTAATACTCCAAATAATGCCACAATGAATAATGTTGTGCTTGTATCATTTCCTATTTTTGCCAGAAAAGCTTTGGGATAGATTCCTAAAGATGGAGTTAGTGAGTCAAAGGGTAAATGCATACATTATTTTGCTATATTTTATTCTAATTTGACTTTAACTATCTGTCCTCTTAATTACCTGAACTTTCAGTAGCTCTTATTGGTCACTGGTACCTAGAACCACGCTTTGCTTTCCATTAAAGACCATACTCTGAAAGAACAACTATATCTTAATTCCATAATGTTATATTACTCATGTATTCTCAAATAAACATTTATTCAAAAAACATTTGATGAGCACTTACTGGGTTTAACAAAGGTTGCCAGATACTTGAGGTTTAAGAGGGAAGATTTTAAAATTTGATTGTTCCCTATCTTCAAGAAACTTACACTAGGGATGGAGGAACACAGAGAAAGGAGTGGAAATTCAATAAGATCTTACCACAAATAACTATGCAAGAAGATACCAGGTGATAAATGCTATAAGGTGAACACAGTACTATTATTCTAGCTGGAGGAATCAAGAATGATTTAATGTTGAAAGTACTCGGGTAGGGACAAACCTTGGAGAATGGGAAATTTGAAGGGGGAAAAAAGGGAAAAGCAGGTCCAAATGGTATTACTACATATCTGCAGAGCAGCTGCAAATAAGTTAGAGAATTAAGTGGTTTCAGCTAATTATTCCTTTCACAGCTTATTTTACCATTCCCTGCTTAAATAGCATCTGTCAAGAAACAAATGATCTAAAATTCAACAAAAGACATAATATAGATTCAACAAAAGACATAATATAGAATTTAGAAATATAGTATGATTAATCATTAGCATAATTAATTTTACCAATAAAGCATGGGCATATGTTATCTATAGTCAACATCCAGATGGGAACTTTACCTGTGTCTATGGTAAGAAGTATCTGAAGCATGTGTGCCATTGTGATCAAATGGAAGAGATAAAGGTGGTTATAGGAAGAACTAATTGATGAAGGCTGCAGATCAACAGTGTCATCCCAATACAAAGATGGGAACGCTAACACAGCACCTACCTATGAAAGAAAAATGTACATCAACATGGGTAACAACAAAAGACCAACACAAATTAATCTCATTGCTAAATGTAAAGAGTACCAGATGCTGCACTGTGTTTGTGTGGGATTTTTTGTTTTTAATTAACCACCATGTTTTTCCAGTATGTACCATAAAAGGAGGACAAAAGTCATCACCAAATAGGTTATTACTTTGCTGGCTCTACTTAGTCTAGGTTTAGATAGTGGTTCTCAGCTGTGTGGTTCAGAATAGTCAACACTACAATCACTTGAGGAGCTCTTCAAATAACAGAGACAACAGGTCCCACCCCAGCCCAACCAAATCAGAATCTCAAGAGGTAGGGTCCAGTTACCAGCATTCTTTTCAAAGTTCCCCAGGTGATTCCAAAAGACAGTCAAGGTGGACAACCACTGGGTAGAGGTCTAGATAATGAGGGATGGGGATGCTAGCTAACCCTACACAAACTCCATGCTCCCAACACCACCACTGTTTTCTCTATAGAATTCAGTTTGACGTAATGAGATCATCACAGGGATGGAAAAGCTCTGCAAGACACTCACAAAAGTTGCCACCCATCCATAAGTGTTTTGAGGAAGCCTAGATGCATCCATGGCCTGGTCCCTATCACCAAATAATTAATGATTTTAAGATAGCTCACACCATCACCACTCACTGCTTAATAATGTAAACCAGTTAAGAAAAAGGGGGGAGGAAGCATAATATAGAAATTTTAAAATTTTGCTTATATAAACAACTAATATAATCAACTAGATAATACCTATTACAAAGAAAAAGTAAATGCACTTTCATTTTTAAAGTGATTTTGATGGTCTCAGTCAAATCTGTACCTATTTGTAAACAGAATGGACAGAAGAACCCAAATTTTATAGGCTGAACACCAATAATTTATAATATTAGACAGCATACATTTGAATGAGGAAATGAAATTATAAACCTGAGTTGCTTTAAAAAAAAAAAATTACTGAACACTTACCAAAACATGAAACAGATCTATAGATAGAAGGCATGGTGTATCTTCTGGTTTTAGGTTAGGAAGAACAACTAAAACAAATAAACAAAAAGTTCATGTAACTCAGTAAGATAGCAATACAGTTAAATAAAATGAAAGCTAGAAATATCTAAAATGAAAATATAACAGGATTATAAAATACAGAAACTAGTACATCAGACCTTTAAGATATGGGAACCATAATGAAAGATAAATTGAACTGAGAAAAGGCTCCCAGAAAGCCTTGGATACAATTTAAGAGTTGAAAGATAAGATCTAGAAAGAAAAGGTAAATGAACTAGAACAACTGAAATAGAGATTGTTCCAGAAATACTTGCTTAATGAACAAGAAGAGTTACTTCTAACAGTGTTCCCTCTATTACTTTCCCCCCTAACCGTACATTTCTAAATGTTCTATGATACATAACATGTGAACAAATTTGAGGTGGGGAGCAGGGAGACTGTAAAGCGGTGTAGGTGAAATGAGGATGTAGAAGATCCTCCTGTACAAAATGAGGTAACAGTTTATATATGTATGGACTGATGATCTGGAGGAAGCACAGACAGCTCAAAAGCTATTGTCTTTCTAATTTGGTTAATCTCTAAAGAAGAGCAATGAATTTAGAGGTAAGGGAAAGAAAGGCAAGGAAGTGAAATCAAGAAGTCAAGACAACAGGAATGATTTTACATAGATATAAATAAGATAATGAATTATATCTTAATAAAGCTATTACTTTAAAAAATGAGGCAGAGAAGACTCTTTCCGGACTAGTTCAATTTCTTAACCCCAAATCCAAGATTCTAAACAAAAAGCATACAGGTTAAGGTCACGAGCTTTGAAGTCAGACTGAAATTGGTTCCAGTACTGCCCGTGACTATTAGTCATACGCAAGTGACTTGACTTCTCTAAGTCTACAGTACATACAAGATTTTGGGGAGGTTCATTAACATATGCATTTAAAGCACTTATCCCAAGTTTGGCATATAATAATCCTATAATAAATGTTATTCATATTGGGTATATAAAACAAAGTGATCACAGGGCTCTGACATTAACTAGTGGTGTGACTTGACAAGTCATCTGATGTTTCTAGATCTCATTTTCTCATATTAAAATTTTTGAGTAATATTTCTGATATGTCAGTTAGCATGTCCATGACACTACCTATCTTATTCTCTTCTCAGTGTTAACAACTTGCTTTATTCTTAGAGCATATAAATAACTCCTAGTCCCTTGTCCTAAGTTCTACTATCTTTTCAGCCAGTGGAATACTGTTTCTGTCATCAAATTGTTCTTATAGGCAGTTGTGAAACTATTTTTCTGTCTGGTTGCTGAAAATATTTACTTTGAAATCAAAAGTCAATTTTGGCATGCATATTTTCATTTTATTTATTGGTCAAATGGTCCCTTCATGCCAAATTAAACATCCTGGCAAAGTTTATGTGATACAGTGGGAAAAGCATCGGCTTTATTGTCAGGCCCAGGTTCACATATTAGTTCTTCCTCCTACTGGTTTTATGACTATGAGCAAGTCATATAACTTCCCTCTGCCTCAGTTTTCTCATTGTAAATGGGGATAATGATAATTTCCTTGAAGGATGGTGATTAGAAGAAATGAGATTGTATGTCCTATTCCTACTACAGAATCAACAGAGTAAAACAACATTCATCACCTTATATATAAAACAACTTTCTATTCTGGACTTCCTCATTTCTGTCAAATTTTGTTATTCATTTTAGTTCAAAACCTTGCCCTTTCCCAGCCCACCCTAATTCCTTCCCTAATTCCTGCTACTATATCTGGATACATAATTTATCTGTAGTTTTTCTGCCTGAAATCCAACCCAAACTATTGTTTAACCTTAAATTAACACCAGAATACTCTTGCCAAAACTTTTCAAAAATTCCCAATTACCTAAAGTTCAAACTTCTCACTGGGACATTTAAGGTCCTTTATTTTTATAAAAACATAGGTGCCACTACTCCTATTGAACTTGTCTATTTGAACACACTACATGCTTTCCTATCCCCTCAATCTTGTTCAAATGTACACTATGTTTGAAATGCTGTCTCTGTTCCTCTCAACTTATCTGTTATGTACCCTATTTTCAAGGCTCAATTCAAATCCTACCTCCATTAGAGGAGATCACAGCAGAGCCCCACGATGATTTCTTAATTTTTTTTTTTTTTTTTTAAAGATGACCAGTAAGGGGATCTTAACCCTTGACTTGATGCTGTCAGCACCACGCTCTCCCAAGTGAGCTAACCAGCCATCCCTATACAGGGATCCGAATCTATGGCCCTGGTGTTATCAGCACCACACTCTCCCAAGTGAGCCATGGGCCGACCTGTCCTTGTCTTAATTTTTGAAGAACGCAATTGTTAAGAACACATCTGGCATCTAGCTACTTCATAATGTGTGTTAAAAACCTTTATAAAATAAAGGTTCTGCTTCTTTAATACAACTTTAAGCCTTACATATCTTATACCTCTTTATAAAGTTTATAGCCCTAACACCTTGCAAATAAAGATGTTCTTGCTTATAAATTTTCACATGAATAGGCACTGAGCAACATTACAGAGCAAAAGCACATCTATTTCACCACTTACTGCAAATTAGACATCACACACCATCATTTTAGTCTCTGTCATGTGTGATGTTAGTCTCCTTGTTTGGTGCTGATTTTGAGGTGTTTTAAACAATATAAGTCCCATAATGTGCAACAAGTGCAAAAGCAGAGAGCCTATTTGTAAGTGCTAATAAAACAAGGTACCTAATTTATTACTGAAATGAAAAAGACACCAAAAAGTGAGAAACAAAACTCAAACAGTAATACGCAAATAGGATAAGTCGTTCAACAACAGGAATAGTTCCTAAGAACAAAGACAGGCATGTGTAACATATGGAAAGTTTGGGGCTTGTGCAACTGACTAACAAGAGAAAAAAGAAAGCAAAAAAAGGAAAAACTTTTAAGTGTGTGGCTAGGTAAACACCATCAACATTAGATTCCTATTAGCATAAGGCTAATTCAGGAGATAGCTGGAAGTTAATTTGAAAATATAAAAGCTAACCATGATGGAAGTTCTGATGAAACTTGGGCGGCAGCCTTGGCTAGAGTTGTGTAATCCCCCCACCATCAGAGTGAGCAGAAAGCTGCTCAGGAAGATCTCCCTAAGAAGCTTGTGGGGATTAACAAGGAGGAAAGTTACCAGCCTCAACATATTTTCAAGGTAAAGAAGTTGCTCTATCTTATTAGAAAAAAATTGCCTGCTAGTTCAGCTAGAAGAAAACTATGCCTAGCTTTAAAGCTTAAAAAACCTGAATAACTTTCTTATTTAGTAGTAATACATCTGTGAAATGCAAGCTGAAACCTCTACGATATTTTGGACTTATGAACAAATAGATTTATTTACAAACAGTCCTTTAAGGCTGACCTGTTTGGGTGCAGAGGAGCTCTTGTAGCAGACTTTAAATGCCCAAATGGAAATACAGATAACCAAAATGAAAGCAAAATCATTCTACTGCTGTGTAAACTCTTATCCTTTTAAAACATTTTTATATTGAGAACACCACATGAGCTCTTAGTAAACCTCTAGCTTGTTAGAACCCAAGACCAGTTGTTATATAGCCTGCCTCTCAGAGAAAAGGGCATGGGCCTGAGTTCTAAGATTACTACACATAGCATTTCTATTATTTTACATGGCTTTGACTTCAACAGAATTAAACATATTTTAAAATGATTTATCCACATCATTGCTACCTTTTCTTTTTTTTTTTGTCCTTTTTGAGACCGGCCGCACCGTTCTCAGCCAGTGAGCGCTGTGAACGCACCTGTCATCCCTATATAGGATCCGAACCCGCGGCGGGAGCGCTGCTGCGCTCCCAGCGCCGCACTCTCCCGAGTGCGCCACGGGCTCGGCCCTCATTGCTACCTTTTCTTTTTTTTTTTGTCCTTTTTGAGACCGGCCGCACCGTTCTCAGCCAGTGAGCGCTGTGAATGCACCTGTCATCCCTATATAGGATCCGAACCCGCGGCGGGAGCGCTGCTGCGCTCCCAGCGCCGCACTCTCCCGAGTGCGCCACGGGCTCGGCCCTCATTGCTACCTTTTCTAACCAGACTGGAGATACATGGATATCAGTGGTTGTGGACACTGATTCAATAATCAAGAGGTGTAGAAGGAACGTAAGCTGAAAATACAGTCATGCATTGCATAATGATATTTCTGTCAATGATGGACCAGATATACGACAATCATTGGAGCAATAGGCTATACCATATAGCCTAGGTGTGTAGTAGGTTATACAATCTAGGTTTGTGTGAGTACACTTTATAATGTTTGCACAGTGATGTATTTCTCAGAACATATCCCTGTCATTAAGCAATGTGTGACTGAATTTGGAAAATACCTGATTTTAAAAATAAGATTTCAAGTATTACAGGAGCAATTATGCATTTCTTTTGATTGATTGATTGTAAGACTGCTGCAGGCAGCAATATTTCATTAGTAAGTGGCCAAAATTAGTGCAGTGTGTTGTTTCCTAATGAAATACAGTGCCAGAAATGCAGTGGAAAAAGACGTGTGTAGTAACATAATAATAATTCAGACAAAACCCTACCTGATAAGAGACGAACCAGATATTTCTGTATCAGGACCTGAGGACAGGTAATCCTCTGTGCAACTGCAAACTGCATTAAGGCTCTCAGACCATTATGCTAGATTATAAGAGAGGGGAAGATAAAAAGATAAAGATGATGACAGATTTAAGTCACTCACTGTAAAAACCAATTCCAGTCTATCAGAATTAGCTGCAGACTTATCGTATGCTTTACTTTCTTGCAAATAAATTACCTGTAAATATTCTTTATACCTGTAAAAAGTCTTATGACCTTACTAAATTTGTAATAGATTTTCCCATGACATGGATGTATTAAAGCTATAATCATTCCAATTCTCATTTAAGTACTCATTTCGCCCAGAGTCAATTTCTTAAATGTTTGGCCTAATTTATTCTACTGAGGCCTGTGGAAATGTATTTCTAAAAACTCTGAATGATGACAGAAAACCACTGAAAGAGATCTTCTGTTTCCCAAACAGGAGGATGGGAACTGTTGGGAAGCACATTGTGGACTACAAGTCTGCTGTGCCAGCTGTCAGGAAAATAAGAGGAAAATGGCGGGTGGTGGAGCTGGCAGGGGGATGGGAGGTGGGGTGGCAGGCATCTAGGAAATCCTCAGTTGCCCCCTTTTGTCTTCACAGGCCTACTGAGCACATTTCTTGAGTACTGTTTTCCAGGGTCCCTTATATGAGGCTTAGGACTAAGGCAAGAGTATAGTTCTGTAGTATTGTCAGGATCTGCCCATCAAGGAGCCATGGCTTAGCTTTATTCTTGAATTCAGTACGACGATTTATCTAGAACTAAGCCAGCATTAATACTATAAAAAATTAATATTATAAAATGGTGCAAAATTAGTGAGGGGGAAAAATATAGAAGACACCAGGATTTTGATTTAGCAATAAACAGAAAGGGGAGTAAAAGTAATCAGGTATCACCTGAAATGTCTGTGTGAATTACATTTAACCACCTGGATTGAGTAAGCTCTGTAAAGTGCACAATATTGGTCATCCAGTTTCCCACGAGACTAAAGCAGCTCCTTTTTATTGTCCTACAGAATTCTGCTAATCTTCATAAAAAAAGGAGCAAAAATTTTTAGAAGTTAAATTAACTGTGGAATTCCTAAAAAAAAGAAAAAAAAAGCATACCAGGAGTACATGTACCCTGTTGAAATATACATACCTGCCTATTTTGAAGTGCTCCAAACAGAGGTTTTCCTTCATCTCCCAATAGGTTTTCTCAAAGAATAAGAAAAACATAAAAATAAAATATCCTGAATACTGCTATAATTGTATATTGTACTTAGTTTCTGTCTAACACGTGTTCTTTAATTATATTTTTGAACAATAATCTGCATTTTTCTTCTCAAGGTCTTATGTTTAAGTCTAAGCCAAAATTGTCTAATTTTTGAGTGAGAGTATTTAGAGAAGCAAATGTAGACCATTTACAAATTACTAGTATAAAGTCCCTGCAGCAATCTATAAAGAATGCTTGGGGAAAACAAAGTAGCCTGGTTTGTTTTAGCTTTTTTTTTTTTTTCCTTTTTGTCTTTTTTCGTGACCGGCAACGGGATGCAACCCTCGGTGTTGCGCCCCACCTCACTCAGCCAGTGAGCGGCCGGTCTGTATGTGGGATCCAAACCCTCGGCGGGAGCGCCACCGCGCTCCCAAGCGGCCCACTGTAGCAGTGCGCCCCCAGGCCGGCCTGTTTTAGCCCCTTTTTTTTTTTTTTTTTGTCTTTTTCCGTGGCCGGCAACAGATCGCAACCCTCAGTGTTGCCCCCGTACTGGACCGGGACCGGCAACGGGATTGCAACCCTCGGTGCTGCTCCCGCGCCTCGCTCAGCCAGTGAGCGGGAACCGGTCTGTATGTGGGATCTGAACCCTCGGGCGGGAGCGCCGCCGCGCTTCCCAAGCGGCGCACTATCCAGTGCGCCACCGGGCCGGCCCTTTAGCTCCTTTTAACATCACTTTTGTGCAAAACATTTTTAAATAAGCAATTTTGGGTGGGGGGTGGAGTGGATAGCTGACCTGTACAGTGATCCAAACCCCTTGACCTTGGTGTTATGACATCACACTCTAACCAAGTGAGCTAACTGACCAGCCCTAAATAATTTTTATATATAATCATAACCTATTTTGTTTAAAAATAATATGTAAGGCAGATGCAAGTAACTTTATTGCTCTTTTAGGTACAATTTTAAAAGAATTAGAACAGATTTATATGAAAAAAGATGAAATTGAAAATACTTAAACTATGGATTTAGAAATGTACTTTGCTTTTATCTTCACTGCTACTTGGTAACAGATATAGCTATGAGCATGGAAGGCCTATTTCCTATTTTCTTTTTCCATCTTTGAATGGACAGTAATAAAAGACCCTTTGTTATGATCCCTCAACTGTTATCCTATGCCAACACATCCTGTACATGGTCTCTTAAACCCCATAGGAAATGAGATAAGTTAGCTGCTTATGTACTACAAATAAAGCAAAGCATTATGTCTGCTCAATGCAATAAGCATTAGAGCGAACACAATATACAACTGTATTAATTAGAATCCAATTACTAGATTACAAACCATACATAAAATGATTCAGTTCTATTTCTAGTTAATTTCTCATCTCCTTTATGACACAACTGTGATATTTTCTATGTTCAAGATCTAAATATAAGTTCCTGATTCCTAATGTTTGTCTTCCCAAAGATAGCAAAGTATGAAATACCTTCACTGAAAGTCTAGAGATTTAGCAGATCATGACTCCAACAGAATATTTTGCATTTCTTATCAATCTGTTCAGATTCCATTTTATTTAAACCTATTTTTTCCTATTTCTCATTTTATTTAATCATACCAAATATAAACCGGTGTATTATCCTATACCCACAATTTAAGTCTAACAGGTTTAAAAGTAACTTCTAAAATTTGTTTAGAGACTGAGACGGGTATGTAAGAAGACTCTGGGAAAACAGTGGCTTCATGCTACTTCATTCAAATAGTGAAATAATGTGTTGTTACAAAAATATATTTAGGGGCCGGCCCGGTGGCGCACTGCTACAGTGCACCGCTTGGGAAGTGTGGCGGTGCTCCCGCCGAGGGTTCGGATCCCACATACAGACCGGTTCCCGCTCACTGGCTGAGCGAGGTGTGGGAGCAACACCGAGGGTTGCGATCCCGTTGCCGGTCCCGGTCCGGTACGGGCGCGACACTGAGGGTTGCGATCCGTTGCCGGACACGAAAAAAGACAAAAAGGAAAAAATATATATATATATTTAAATGAAAAAAGTGTAGCAGACTCCATTAAAAACAACTTAGAAAAATATATATTGGAAAGGGAGATCAAGCTTAGATAAAGATATGAAAGAATTACAGTTCTTAATCTTTTCCATATACTTCTGTACTTCGTGATTGTAATGAGCAAAAGTGCTAATTTAAAAATCTAAGTGATTGGGCCGGCCCGGTGGCGCACTGCTATAGTGCGCCGCTTGGGAAGCGCGGTGGCGCTCCCGCCGAGGGTTCGGATCCCACATACGGACCGGTTCCGCTCACTGGCTGAGTGAGGTGCGGACACAACACCAAGGGTTGCGATCCCGTGGCTGGTCCCGGTCCGGTACAGGCGCGACACTGAGGGTTGCGATCCGTTGCCGGTCACAAAAAAAAGGGGAAAAAAAAAAAATCTAAGTGATTCTAAACTTTTCTCTGAGAAGTTTTGTATATGACAAAGAAATTGACAGTAGGCTTCCTATCAGACCTGGTTAGTTTCTGCCTGCTAATCTGACTCTCCTGATTGCCTGTCTTCCTTTCCTTTTCTGGTAATTTTTTTTTTTTAGGTGACTTTGGTTTTTCTTTCTTTTTCTTTCAAAGTATAAAAGAAACAAAAATTACTGTACATTTCTGGTTTGATTCTTCATCATTTGGCTGTTTTTCCTGATCTTCTAGTGTTGTAAATCTGCCAGCTTTTGACTACAGCTTGCTTCAATCTATCCCTTTAAAATATTTTTATCTTATGTTGCATATGTTCATGATTATAGTTGAAAAGAGATTAATAAAAAAAAGTTCTCAGATCAAATGGCAGAAGGTCATACCAATATACTGAAATACTAACAATCTTCAAACAAGTCAAATTATTTTGAGCCATCAGGGAAAAAAAGGAATAATTTTTGGTCAATCAGTGTTAATTCTGTTTCACTGAAACCTCCAAAACAGTTTTCTTATAGGCTTTACCAATTGCCTGGATAGTGAAAGCACATGTGCTCCAAGTCATCACGGGGATTCGAGGATCCATTTCATCAGGAGGCACTTTCAGTCCAATTCTATAAATTGTTGTGGCAAAGAGAATGACCATTTCCTTGATGCTATTAGAATATTTGATCCTAAAAATAAAAAAATAAAAATTTATATAATGATTTATTAAAAGGGGTTACTTACTTAGAAATCCAATTAGGTACTGAAACAACAGAAACAATTTAGCTCCTTTTGACATAAATAAACTGCTCTTTGCCAAATTAGAGATTAGACCTTCTAAAGATTTATTCAATAAGAAAAAAATAGGAAAAACAGAACTGTATCTCCTGAAGGTAGAAAAATATCTCTTACGAAATGGTAATGACCCAAATAACTCCACTCCTTATAAAAGATACAGTAAATGATCGGCTGGAAGGTTTCAGGTCCAAATTAAGGGATATACTGGACAGAGAAGGAATAAAATTTAGAGGAAACAGATCTGACCTAACATGTTTTGGTGTTTGGAAAAGGGATAAAGTACTTTTGTGTTAATATGGGTGTGTGTGTGTGTGCGTGTGTGGGAATATTGTGTACTTGGAGTGATACTTTCTGGTTTTCTGAACCTCCATTTGTAACAAGTATTTTCAGTAGCAATGGGATAATATAAACAAGGATCACAACTAGAAAAAAGAACCCCAGAGAGTAAGTATTCATAAAATAATAATACCTGATTTGGGAACATATTTTTCAGTGTCTTCCTAAATATCTCTCCAATAGACTTATTGCCTCAATTCTACATACACGAAAATGATTTGAGGGTGGGGTGAAGTGACCTGAGACATTTTAGTAAGTCACAGAGTAAGTTAGATGTGACTTTAACTGAAGTCGCTTAAATTCTGGTCCTCTTTTAGGTTAGACCACACAAAATTGGCATTTTGGTTGATCAAAAATGGTTGGTTAGAGGCATGGTTCACCCAAATAGAGATTAATATCTCAAATCACTCAATTTCTTAAATAATTTTAATTGACACATTGTAATTATACATACGTATGTGGTACAATCTGATTTTTTGGTTCAAACCACTTAATTTACCAATAAAATTTACAAATAAAACTCCAAGGAGAGGGAAACAAGATAAAAATGGAATAAAACAATTTTACAAATAAAGAAGAAAGTAAAAAAGGAAGGACTATTTCTCATTCTTATTTTCACAACCATTTACAACCTTCTCTTAACTATTTAGGTACTTACGAAGACTGCACTCCAAAACTCAGGATGGAGTGAAACTCAAAAGTGGAATCTCCCATTCCTTGATTAAACAAGACAGGAATTGTTGGGTTTTCGCCTTATAAATTAAAAGGAAAAAGAAAAATCATAAATAGGTTTAGTCTGACATATACTTTCCTAGCTTTTAAAAATGATATATGATCATTTTAGAAAAAAACTTAGAACATGCTAATAGGCAATAAATAATCACCTGAAATTCCTCCACCCAGATAACCACAAATAACATTTGGGTGATATTCTTTTGTTCTCCATATAAATTTTTTTTTATGATCATTTTAGAAAAAAACTTAGAACATGCTAATAGGCAATAAATAATCACCTGAAATTTCTCCACCCAGATAACCACAAATAACATTTGGGTGATATTCTTTTGTTCTCCATATAAATTTTTTTAAAAAAGACAACACCATATAGTACTGTTCTGCATCTTGCTTCTTCACCTAACATATTATGAATGTTTTTCCATATCAGTAACTCTCCCTCTATATTTCCATTTTTAACGAATGTATATGTGTTCTCTTAGTATGGCAACATATATCAGTGAATAAGAATAAAGGATCTGGAGCCAAACTGCCTGGATTTGAATACTAGCTCTGCCACTTAGTAGGACTTTATGTGAGAACTAAACCTCTCTGTGGCTCTATTTCCTCATCAAATTTGAACATTATTCCCCTAAATGGAATTGGTTGTTTTTCTCTAGTTGCTTTCAAGATTTTTTCTTTATCTTTTGTTTTCAGCAGTTTTGTTATGATGTGTCCGAGTGTGATTTTCTTTAAGTTTATATGTTTGAGTCACAACTTCTTCAATCTGTAAATTTATGATTTCACCAAATTTGGGAAGTTTTCAGCCATTATTTCTCTAAAGATTTTATTCCACATCATCCTTTTTCCCTTTCTTTTTGGGACTTCAATGACACAAATGTTGAATTTTTAAAAGATTGTCCTATATGTCCCTAAGGACCCATTTTCTTTTTTTTCCCTCTCTTTTCTTTCTTTCTTTCTTTATTTTTTTGGTGGCTGGCCTGTACAGGGATCAAACCCTGGGCCTTGGTGTTATCAGCACCACATTCTCACCAACTGAGCAAACTGAACAGCCCCTCTCCATCTCTTTTCTGTCTGTTCTTCAGATTGGATAATTTCCACTGATCTAATTCAAATTCACTGACACTTATCTCCTCATCTCCATTCTCCTATTGAGCCCATCTAGTTAACTTTTATTTCGCATATTATTTTTTCAATTCTATGAGATTTCCAAAAGTCTGTGGAAAAACAGGATTGAAATTTAATACAAATCATTACATGAACTTTTGGACATACCATCGTGTTATCTCATATAGTTTTTTTTAAGTAGTCTGTACTTTTCTGCTCCTATTTTTCACTCATTTCAAGAATGTTTACCTTTACTTTATGTTTTACATTTATATAGCTTCTTTAAACTTTTTGTCTGATAAGTTCAACATTTAAAACATCTCAGAATTGGCATTTGATTGTTTTTCCCATAAGAGGTGGTCAGACTTTTCTGGTTCTTTGTATGTCAAGTAATTTCTAGACTGTATCTTGGATATTTTGAATATTATATTGTGAGATTCTAGGTCCTATTAAAATCATCTGGAAAAATGTGCATTTTAAAAGTGTTTTAGTAGGCAATCAACTCAGGTTCAATCAATTTTGTCTCATCTTCAATGGATGGTGGTTCCAATGTTAGTTTTCAGAACCTTTGCTATGCTATTTTGATCTGCCTAGCAGATGTACTACTCATGGAATTAGTCAGGGACTTGAGTGGTGATTTAAATGCAGCTTAATTCTTAAAGACTGTGCTATGCTTCTTTGGGCCTATTCTGTACTTACGCAGCTTGGAGGTGAGCCCAGGACTTGAGCTGGTCTCAAAAATAGGAGAGTCCCCTTCTACAGTTCTCTCCTCTCTGGAATTTCTCCCAAACTCTGTAGCTCAAAAGGGCCCTTTTTTCCTAGTTCCTTTGGCCAAAATGACACGTTTCTCTCAGTTTTAGTCTTGCATGCTATCATGCAAATTTACGTGACTGGTGCTGCCCTTGGGGTGAAGTTGTGAGGCAAAGACAGAAAAAAATAAGGACTCACCTTGCACTCTTTGGAACAGTGGGGCCCCTTTTCCCAGTTCCTCTGGCCAGAGAAACTGGTTTACTGGATTTAGATGGATCTTGGATCTAAGATTTAAATTCCTGCAGTCTGACTCCAGATTAATCTGTCTATACTACCTCCTAGTATGAAAAATGATTAGTGAAGTGGTTTAAGCCAAACTTAGTCTTGGCCTCAAAAACCTCTATTCACACGTTAACCTGTTAGCTAGCCTTGCAGGTTTTACTTCTAAATATATCCCAAGTTGATCACTTCTTTCTGCCTCTACCACTACCACTATTACATCTCAGTCACCTCATCTCTCACCTGGACTACTTCAATAGACTCCTAACTGTTCTTCCTGCTTCTACTCCTGTGTTTCATTACTAAGTATGAGTTCATCATACAGAAGCCAGATGAATCTTCTAAAAATGTAAATCAGATCATATCATTCCCCTGTTCAAGACACTCTGGTGGTTTCCTATCATACATAAAATAAAATTCTAACTTCTAATCTTAGCTCATAAGCCCTCTCATGATCTGGCTCTTTGCTTGCTCTATTCCAGGTATGCTGCCATCCTGCTATTCCTAGAACATTCCAACTGCATTCCTAACTTGGGTCCTTTGCTCTTGATATTGCCCGTGCTTAGAATTCTCTTCTTCTAGAGAGCAGCACTGCTTGTCCTTCGCTTCATTCAGGTTTCCACTCAAATGGCACCATCTCAGAGAGGAGCTCCCTGACAACTCTGTCCATAAATAGCCCCATGACCCAGTCTGTCTTTAGCCCTTTACTCTGGTGCCTTAGTTTTCTCATAGTACTCATATTTCTCACTACTCAACACTTTGTATTTATTTGTTTATTGCCAGTTTCTCCTTCCTAGAATGTAAATTTCATAAGGGCAGGGACTTGATTAAAGATCCAAAAAGGGATCAGAAACAGCATTATTAAAAAAGACTATAAAATAAAAATCTGTTTATTGAAAGGACAGATTTAACTTGAGTGAAGTTAAAAAAAAAAAAAAAATATATATATATATATATATATAATGAACAGTACCGAAATTTATATACCTGGGCACAAATTCAACCTAAAGAATTTTTTCAGTTCTTAAAAAAAAAGTGTACTATAACTGGTTACGATAAATTTTCTTTAAAAATATTATCATATTAGTTCTAATTTTTAATAAATTATATTATAAATTTTGATAGATTTAATAAAAATATTAGTTTTGATGTTTTCATATGCTTCTACCTTTAATATCTTAGATTATACTCATATTGACTTTCTAAAATACAAAAAGGCAAATATATTCAACCACACAGGTAAGTTCAAATACCTAATAAACATGTTATGTATAAGTATATATTTCAGTAACAAATTTGTTGAGTAACAAAATTGTTACTATAGATTAAAATTGCCCCAGGGTTCTAAGAGACATGGTCATAAGGATCAGTTTTCTGACTTTAGAAAGGATTTCCTTGAAGAATCCTATTCTTAAAGCCATCAAAGAAAGAAGTTGCTGAATATTCCTTCAGAGTAATTTATATGTTTAATAATACTTATTTTGGGGAACCACTATGTAAAAAAGGCTTGTACTGTCTAACAAGATGTTGGAAAGTCACCTTATTTCATTATGATTTATTTTACCTTTGTCTTCAGGTGTATAGTTAGGTAAAGCTTTTAAGTCATGTCTGAATTCAAATCCTGGGTCTGTGTTGGGACAAGTAAAAACTACTCAGAGTCTCCAATTCCTTATCTTTATCTTTATTTGGCAGCTGGCTGGTATAGGGATCTGAACCCTGACCTTTGTGTTACCAGCACCAGACCACTTCCTTATTTTTAAATGGAAATAACAGTATCTACTCCATTAGACTACTGTGAGAATTAAATAAGATAATGTATCAAGTGCTTGGTGGAGTATCTAGAACACAGTAATTACTCAACAATGACTAAAAAGATAAATCTTTTTTCACCCTTTTCCTATAAGATGACCTTCTATGTCCCAGTAGGCTGAAGAAGACAATTTCCCAATTAGATTTTCCAATTACATGGAATAGCAGAGACAGGCTAACTACTTATTGACGCTGCTTGCCAAACTTATCACCTTTGAACTCTCCTGTTGTAGGGACGTGTTAAAGGTGTTTTTATCAACAAAACCATTTTCTTTAGCAAAACTTAATTTATCATTACAAATCCAGTGAATTTCAAAGACACTGAAATAATAACAATTATAAATAGTACTGTTATGATATAGAACAGTGAAAATACAGAAATATATAATTAAGTGTCCTAGTTGTCATAAAAAACTAATAAATTTGCTGTTAAAATCCATTCACGGGGCCGAGCCTGTGGAGCACTCGGGAGAGTGGGGCGCTGGGAGCGCAGTAGCACTCCCGCGGCGGGTTTGGATCCTATATAGGGATGACCGGTGCGCTCACAGCGCTCACTGGCTGAGCGCGGTGTGGCTGGTCTCAAAAAGGACAAAAAAAAAAAAAAAAAATCCATTCACGGATGATCAGAATACAAAATTTTAAAAACTCTAAACACTCAAGCACTATCCAAAGTTATATGATGAATCTAATGGGGTTTTTTAAATTAATTTTTTAATTTTTACAGATAACATTTTGTCCATGTCTCTAAAATAATAGCATTTGGATCTTCAGATATATAGTAGAATTAAAAAAATAATACTAAGATCTTTAGAGCTACCTAACTCCAAATAGCAACTCCACTAGTGGCAAGGGGCCATGTGAAAGAAATGAATTTCTTTTTTTTATATCTCTTCTCCTTCTATGAGTGGCTAAGACAGAGATTAGAGTTCTACTACTTTAATGGCTGTTGGAAGATATACGTACAACATATAGATTTGAGTAAATAAACATTCTAGTTCTCTTAGAGACCAAATTTTGGGCTTTTAGTCACATTTTTAAAGTATGATACAAGTTAAGAAATAAAAAATATTAATTCCTTTAAAGAGTTAAAAAGAAACTCATAATCTAACAAAAACAGGCACAAATTAAAGGATTAAAGACAGCTTTTAAAAAACTAACCAAAACATAAATTAAAATATACCTGTTTATCTTTTGAGGTTGCAAAGGGATAATGGGGATTACAGAATTGCACAGAGATTTGCAAAGAGGGCAAAGATATTCTCCACTCTCCAAGTCAAAAAGGTCAACATGAATGCGCTGCTGAGAGCTAAGCTGTACAGCTTCAAAGTACCTGCAAAATTCCAGAGATACAGGTCCATTTACAACTGCACATGTAATTTTGTTCTAATCCAAGTAAAAAAAAATCCGTTATTTTTGTTCCAATAAACATCTTTAGAACCTAAATGCAAAAATACATAAGTTATAATTATAGAAGAAACAGGCTGCCCATTTCTATTGGGGGCAAACTGGAAAATACATCATGGCAGATACAAATTTAAAATAAGTTTACTGACTCACAACTAGTCTCCTGCCTCAACAGCATGGAGATACAAAGTAGACACTACTTTCCTCAGTTTCCAATGAACTGAAGTAGTAAGGGCTATCACAGGAAAATTATATATTTTAATCCAATGTCAAACAGGTAAACCCTATGTAAGACTTCTCAGAAATTACATTTCTGAATTTTATCTTTTCCAAAGATAGAACTAGAACTTCTTGTCCTATTCTGTCTCAAAGTTACTTTTCACTATATGTTTTCAGGGTAATGAAATTTTTACAAAGATTACTGCTTCTTTTACATGAATACTGATAAAGAGCAACTGATTAGTTTGTGGAGAGGAAGCACCTAAAGGAACAGTGAAAATCTTAAATTGACAACTTTACATACTAATTTCCAAGGCAGATAATAATTAGTATCATGCAAACTGAATTAGTAATTAAAATTGCTTAAATTATTCAAATAAGAAGGAAGGAAAGAAGACATGAGAAAACATGCCTTTTTCTGGCCTTTAGTGAACTTCAATGTTCCTAGTCTCTTTCAAGAACATGTCAGAAGAACAACTTACTTCTGCCAGCATGCTGCATGCATTACATGACCACAGCTTCCTGTATAAGTTCCATATGCCAAGTCTGGATCCATAAAAAGTGGGTCCAAGGTTTCTGGTACAGGAAGACAAAAATAAGAATATGTATTCACCTTGCTTCCAAAGTTATATAAAGGAGGAAAAAGAGAAAGAGGTTATCAGGTCTAAAATTCTAATCACAAACTTTCTCAGGAATGTCTAAGGAAAGTGTCACAAAAAATAAGAATATGTATTCACCTTGCTTCCAAAGTTATATAAAGGAGGAAAAAGAGAAAGAGAGAGGTTATCAGGTCTAAAATTCTAATCACAAACTTTCTCAGGAATGTCTAAGGAAAGTGTCACAATATCATGACAACAGGACATATATTCTTAATAGCAAAAAAAAAAAAAAAAAAACGAAAAAGAGAAAATATAAAGCTAGACTATGAGGTATGACTCTAAAATTGGTATGAATTAATAACAACTCTTTCTTTTATTAACATTTTAATTTTGAACATTAGGTTTAAGCTGCTTTATCTTGGCTGTTGAAATGATTTTCTATGATTCGAGCACATTTTACTTCTGTAATTTTAAGAGTAATTTGACTGGATGATAATTTTGAAAGATATATAGGGGCATTATAACGTAGTAGAAAAAAAGCACAGACAAGGAATTTCAAGTTCTGGTTTCATCACTTAAAACTCATGACCTTGGGCAAGTTATATAACCTCTCTGTACCCTCATGTGTAAAATGGAGACAATATTGGTACCTAACTCATAGGACTGTCATGAAGATTAAGTAAATAGATACACAAAAAGCACTTAAGTGTCTGGCACATGTTAAGCAGTCAATTAATATTATCTGTTATTATCATCATTATTTCTCCAGAGGTACTTTAAAAATAAAGCATCTAACTCCTGATGTAAGAAAAGCAATACATTACCTAATTAGTACTCTTGCCAAGAAAATGTTTACCACAAATTTAATCATGAGGCAACAACAGACAAATTCACAGTAAAAGGCATCGTACAGACAATTGGCCTGCATTCTTCAAAAAAGTTATCATGAAAAAAAAAGGCAACGGACTATTCTAGATTAAAATAGACTAGAGGAAACATAATCAAAGCCACTCATAAATGTGTTTGGATCCTGCATGAAAAAAAAAGTCTCTCTATTGTAGACATTTTGAGAACAGCTGGAGAAATATGAATTTTATATTAGATGATATTTCTGAACTATGAACTTTCTTAAATATGATAAGGCTACAGTAGATATAGATTTCCTTAGTTTTAGAAAATGCATGTGGAAATATTTAGGGATGAAATGTCATGACACCTGTGACCTACTTTCAAATGGTTCAGCAAAAAGAAACATAGATTAACAGAGAAATAAAATGAGCAATGTGGCCAAGTGCCAACAAAAATTAAAATAAAAAAATAAAAATAAAACAAAGCAGCCCACATGGCATGTAAAAACCTAGAGTCTATTTTACATATGGGTAAAACTGTGATCTAACAAAATAAAACTAAATACAACCTCACTCCCAAATTTCTTTCAAATAGTATTTTTTCTAATTACATAGTAATGAAGAGAAATGCTTGAAAGGATATTTATTAAACAATACATACCCCCTGAGAGTTCTATGGGTTTCCCCCTGTGCTGGGTTAAGGTGGTGGATTTCTGGACACAGGCTGATAATACCATGGCATTATTTTCTATTTTCACCTCTTGTTCTTCTTGACAGAGGATGCATGTCAGCACCTCCTTTTCAGTAACAGATGGACCCCGTTTAGGACCCAAAGCAATTCTAGAGTAGTTGCTGACTGCTGGGGTGCTACCAAAAGAAACGACCAGAAATGAGGACTGAGGACACATGTTTTGGTCACTTGTCTTTATATTTTGGTAGATTTTAAGTAACTGTAGAATAAAATAAGAATACAAATAAAAATAATATTTAGCAATATTAGCTTAAAAGCTTTCCCCCTGACCTTTCTGGCTTTTATCAGTTAATTTGCTTATTAGAAAATACATTTTTTGTTGATAAATGCAAAAAAAAGATCACAAAACAGAATGTATATTATAATTACATTTAACGTACTGTACCAACAGGCTGAGTTATTTTTTTTTAAATATAAAAATAATACACACTTATTGAAGAAATTTTATAAGATCTAGAAAAGTATAAAGAAGAATATAAAAAGCATTATACTCCCACAACATAGATGACCACTTAATAACCTTGTATATTTCCTTCTAGTCAGCTTTCTACTTATACTTTTTTACATAAATAAGATCACATTACATACAAAGATTTGCATCCTGCTTTATATTTTTATTTTCTTATGTCATTAAAATTTCTTCAGAAAAATTTTTAAATGGCTGCACAGTATTCTTATTATATGTGCCCTAAGAGTTTTATCCATTCCCACTCATTAGGCATTTAGGTTTCTATTCGATTTTGGTAGCTGTTAAAACTAAAAAAAACTTAGCAGGCTAAATGTCCTCCAGTTCATGGAACAGTCCCACATGAAAAAGAATCATCACACAAATGCCAAGACTGAGAAACACTGAGCTCAATTTGTATATAAGAACATATACAGATTTCTAAGACATCCTATAAGAGAAAGAAAATGTGAAGTTGCAGAATGATATGTACATAATACCATTTATGAAAATAAAACAAAAAGCTGAATGACACTATATAATTTCTGTGGTTATGTATATTTGTATGTAATAATACAGTAAAAATATTGACAAGAAAACATGAAAATTATAATCAGAGAATCTCTGAGAAAGAACAGAAAGAGATCCAGGATTTGGGCTGGTGCTCAAATGGAACTTGATTTTTAAAAGAAAAAATGTATTAATGTAATCATGAAATTAAAATATAGGTTTTAAGAAAAACATAAGAGAATATACTTGTGATTTTGGATAGGAAAAGCCTTCTTAAACAAGATACAAAAAGTTAAAACTTAGTGCACAGTGTCATAACACCAAGGTCAAGGGTTTGGATACCTGTACCAGACAGCTGCCAAAAAAAAGTTAGAACTCTAAATGTTTTCATCAATATTGAAAACTCTTCTCTGGCTAATCCCCATAATTAATGTTAAAGAAATAGGGACAATATATGTGAAACACATATAACAAAGTTTAGCGTCCATAATTTTAAAGGACTTCTATAAATCCATAAGACAAGAGCAAAGTACCCAATAGAGATGGGCAAAGGATAATAACAGGCAATTCCTAGAAGATAAAATGTAAAAGGTCAGTGAACAATCAATTTCCCTGATTACTAGTCAGTACTAACTAGTAATCAGGGAAATTTGATCAGATTGACACAAATTCTTAATTTTGACAATATCAAATATTTTCAAGCACTAATAATAGTTAAGTAATCATGAGAATGAAGAAAATAGGCACTTTCATACACTGCTGGAAGTAGAAATTGAGAAAACCACTTTGGAGGGCAATGTGGCCATCTATTCCAATTTTGACCCAGCCCTTTCACTTACTGCATTAAAAACGTGAGAACTATTTGCACAATTGCACAAGGAGGTTCATACAGAAATGGTCTGACAAATTGTAATAAGGAAAAATTGAAGCAACCTAAATGTCCAAAATCAGATAAATAATTATATATCCACACCATGAGAGACTATGCAGCAGTCATAAAGGATGATGTTGAATCTACACTATAGATCTATACATACTGACATAAAAAGATTTATAAGAGGCTTCTGGTCAAGATGGTCCCCAGCATCACTCTCTCCCACAAATCAACCAATTTACAACTATTAAAAAGCAATGACAGCCAAGCTGGGGCCACTAGAGCTTAGAGGAAGAGGAGGAGAGACCTATGGAGTGCATGAAGGCAAGAGAAGCCATGATGAGTGAAAGAAAAAACCACTCTGACTGTTTCGTGCTGTGGCCGCTTTAAGGCGGGAGCTGCTGAGTGCATGGAGCAGGAGCTGGCAAAAGCCGCAGCTGTGCCCTTCAGATGGAGTTGCTAGGAGGCGGCAGGGGAGAAGAGGGCCTTGGTGGCCCCCAGGCCAGCAGTACCACCAACAGGGTTCCTGTGGACCCACATAGGACGGAGGAGTCACAACAACTGAAAAAAAGGAGCCATTCAGAGGCTGGTGAGTCATCGCAAGGGACCAGAGCATGGCCAGTCCCATGGGAAGTGTTTGGAGCATGGGAGGTGGGGGAGACAGGCCCACTGGGCAAATGCTGGGGTATAGCAAGGACAGCTGATCTGCTCCCCAATCAGTGCAGGACAACTCAGAGGAGACTGGTCAGGAATACAGAATTGCAAGGAGAGCAGTTTGATGAAAAGACTTAGGTCCAGACCAGTGTTTCTATACAACCCAGGTACATCAGATTTCACCAGAACCGGAAGTACCTATAAAGAGAAGTATTAAAACCTGAGCTTCACAAAAAGCCTTCCCTAGGGAATCAGCAGCAAAGCATCAATTTAGCCCAACCACAGAGCTCAAGTACTGATCCTCGTAGGAAGTTCCCCCATTTTAGAAGTAAGCAAAGGACAACAAATTAGTTCCAGTGCAGAGTTTAAGTGGTGGGAACAGCAAATAATCTAACACAGAACTGAAAGAAAAAACAAAGTACCCACAACCAGACAAAGTTTGATAACTAGTAAAGGACTCATTTCACCAAAGAACACCTATAACACCTAGAAGGACTGGAAGTCCCCTGGGCCGTGGACCTCAGCCATGCCCCCCAACACCTGCAACCAGTCCCGAGGATAGGTGCCTCTGGCCTCGGCCACACCCCCCAACAAGTGCAACCACCCCAGCAACGTCCACGACCACCGAGCTGCTTCAGGAAAAGCCCTGGGCTCTCCCAAGCTGGAGCGGCAGGGGGCTGATGTCCATGCTCCCCCCAACTCCCACACGAGCAATCAGCCCTGTAGTGACCACCAAGCTGCTGCAGGAGGCACCCCGGGCTCTCCCAAGCCAGGGGGGGCAGGGAGGGGGACGGACGGGGGGGCCAAGGGCCTCGTCCACGCCCCCCCAATGCTCAATCAGCCCAGTGACGACTAGCAAGCCTCAGCAAGAAGAGCCCCGTGTTCCTGAGCTGGGGTGGTGGGGGAGAGGAAGGCTATTGCCACGCCCCCTTGACACCTGCACCCAGCCTGGCAATAATCAAGCCACTGCTGGAAGCCCACCAGTCTCCCCTATGGGAATGTGGGGGGTGCCACAGGCCTAAATCCCACTCCTCCTCCTTCCTCCTTCTTCCATCCCATTTCCTTCCCCTTTCTCGTCTCCCTCTCCCTCCCAACTGCTCACAATAACATCATAGAATGTAAAAAAATAGTATTAATAAAACTAAGAAAAAAATGAAAATTCACCTCAAATCTAAAAAAAAAAAAGAAAGATTTATAAGGCATTGAAAAAGCAAGCTACAGGACAAAATATATGGTAAAATAAAAATAAACCACTAAAAAACATAAAAACAAGCTTCATTATTTCCTTATGTATACGTTTATAATGCGTAGAAAGAGGTCTAGAACAAGGCATTGAAAAAGCAAGCTACAGGACAAAATATATGGTAAAATAAAAATAACCCACTAAAAAACATAAAACAAGCGTCATTATTTCCTTATGTATACGTTTATAAATGCGTAGAAAGAGGTCTAGAACAATGGCTATTTATAACCACGGTTATGTGTGGAGAAACATCAAGAATGTAGAGGATGGTCAACTTACTACATAATTTGAATTGTTTTCAATGAGAACACATAAATAAATTACATGTCCAATCAACCAGGCAATAAAAATAAATGATGAAACAATTAAAGCCATCAATTAACTCTGAGTACACCTTTGCTTACTCTTCTTTTCTTTTTTTGGTAGCTGGCTGGTACAGAGATTGAACCATGGGCCCTGACATTATGATACCATGTTCTAACCAACTGAGCTAACTGGCCAGCCCCGATTACATCTTTTTATTTTGATAGTAGTCTCTTTTTCACTACTTTCTAAATAGTACGTCATTAATACATAATACCTCGAGAGTTGGGACTTCTGCTTGTTACTGAAAGTTTTAATTTATATCTAGTTTTAGTATACAATAGTCAGCGAAGGAAAGCTTACCTTCATATCTTTTTATTTTTAGTCTTTAAAATAGTCATTATTCTTTATGGTCCTTGTTAGCATACTCAGCTTCAGGGTTACAGACATGTTACATAAAATATAATGTGTCTACTATTATTGCAAAAACACAATTTCCTAAAAGTATCCACAATATACATTGTTTTAAATAGCAGTGAAAGCTTGTTTTTTTAAATGGGCATAAGAGGGTATTTTCAGTATTTCAAATTTCTTGGAGTGCTTTTCAAAGTGTCATTATGTTGCCTTCTCCATTTTCTCACTATATCTATAACAGCCTCACAAAAGCATGGCTCAGAAGGTTAACTGATTTCTACCACAGTACACCAGTCAGGACTCAGAAATCTTGATTTACTGATTTCCACTCCAATGTGCTATCCACGACTATAACTATAGGCATTGTCTTCTTTCTCTTTAAGAAAAAAAGAAAAACTAGGGCTGTATAAACTACCTTTTTTGGGCAAATAATTTGTTTTCAATTTGCAATAACCGCAGTTGGGCTGGCCGGTTAGCTCAGTTGGTTACAGTGTGGTGTTGATTATACCAAGGTCATGGGTTCGGATCCCCGGACCAGCCAGCTGCCAAAAAAATAAAAACCTGCAGTCTTTTATCAGAAATCATAAAAATGCTGGGAAATCTGTGAATTGATGTGTATCTAAAAAATGTCCATGCATACAAAATAACAGGTGTTGATTTCTATTTTTGTTGTTCCCACCTTCATATCTTTCAGTGCATAAAGGTTCCTGACATAACTTTATTATGCACTCGAACAATGTATCAATATAAAATTACATTCAGTAAGTGCTTTAAAGCCTTCACTCTTGACCTTCCTAAGCTTAAAAACAGTTTAATTTCACTTACTATAAAATACATTTTGGAAAAGCATGGTTTAAAGTAAATATTTAATTTTCCCAAATTTGAGTTGATAATTTTTAGTTTTGCTTTGTTTTTACCTCTCTTCCTCCATAATGGAGTCTTCTTTCCCAGGCATTTCTGACGTGTTGTCATACATGAGTTTGTGAGTTTCAATGAAGTTTTTCTGTAAGGCAGACATCTGAGCCATGATCTTCTGGCGATGTAGCCTAGCAGCTTCAGCTTTTCTTTTTCGTTCTGCTTTTTCTTTATCATGAGTAATCTGGGTATTAAGAAACCACAAAATTAGGTAAGATCCACTGTTAAAAATTTACACATACACTGTTCAGTTGGCAAAATTTCCTAGAGTAAGATTCTGAAAAACTTGATCACCCCTTAAGGCTTAGATTCAATTATGTTTCAAAGTTAGCATTGCAGGCTCCATGACATCATACAGCTTCCCTGGTTATTTCAATGATTTAATGTAAAAGGCCACGTCCCTTAAATATCCAATAAACTGCTTTTTATACTCAATGCAAGTACATCAAGAAATGAAATTAGATGGAACAAAATTTTAAATAATTTGTCAATCAACTTAATCACTGACATTTAATCAATTTAAAACAACTCGATGATGTCTAACAGTTACTCCTAACTGCACTGCTAAGACTGAGAACTTTCACACTGTTTCTGAGATGTATTTGATGACTTTTTATTTTCTATTCTACCATAATTGCAGTGTGTTTTTCTTTTAGGAAGGACAGTTAATAACCCCTAGTGATAATATTCTAATAATTTAAAGACTAGAATCATTAAAACATAATTCGTTATATTATGGAAATTAGTAATCTAAATATTACTGCATTTCATTGAATCTAAGATGTACCATTATCTTACATTCCTCTAATAAACATTAATAAATTATAATAAATTAATAAACATTAATAAATCATGAGGAGCCATTGATTGTGAGACATATCCCAATTTCACAAATTAAAATGTTTTAAAAATTAATAAGATGAGGTATTTCTAACAGAGCTCCACTGTACTTCAATTTCCTCTGCTTTTGAAAAATACATAAATTATACTGAATAAGTACCTGTTAAGTACTGTTAATCCTTGAAGTACAGAAGCATAATGAATAAAAGAGGGACAGAGTTCACATGTTGGAAAAATATAGGAAAATGGTCAGGGCCCCTCAGATGTTCAGAATCTTGCCAAGCATTGATGTAGATAGGCACGTGTGCCCAGATGTTCCTTGGTTACTGTCTAACGTAATCGTGCATGTGCACCCAGATGTACTGGGTTATGACTTAAGTATAAAGGACGAGTCCCTCTGATACATGGCACCCTCCTGCCCCCAGGATGCCTCTAGGAGGCAACGGGGAGGCCACTACTGCTGCTGGAGGCTGTTGCTGTAAGCTGTTACTGCCACTGTCCCCGGGATGCCCTGAGATGCTGCTGCCGCCACTACCAGACCTGTAAGCTGATGCTGCTGTTGCTGAGGATTGAGCTTGTCTCATCTGCCAACAGCTCCTGGGATCTTTCCCAATTACCTAGTGTGGACCTGCATGTGAGGGGTCTGGTGACCCAGCCTGGCATGTGAAGGGTCGGTCTGGTGACCCAGTCTATACAATGGGTTTGAAAGGTCTGAGCCCTAGCCCTGATGACACAAACGGAAACTTAGTATAACTAAAATAATGAAACATTTTAGCTTTAGTTATGATTTGCCTTACTCAACAACTGGCATAGTCATGTAGCTTTACATCACATACTTTATGAAAAATAAGTTCCTCCCAACAAAAAGAAGCAGCTCCCTTATACCAGTACCAGTAAAGTTCAAAGACAGAGATGAATGTCACCATTATTATTATTATTACCTCATCATTCTTAATAGATTCCAATCCTGATGTAGTTGCTACAATTAAACAAGATTTTTCTCTTAATCGCTTCACTGTGTCAAACATCTGTGAAAAACAGATGAAATGTTAAGACTTGGTTAGACTGACCAGAAAAAATTCACTAATTCACTAATAGAAAAACTCACTAATCTGGTTTTGTCATCATGTCTCCAAATGTCTTTGACCTAAACTATTTCAATATACGGGGGGTGGAAAAGTGACCCTGACTGTGACAAACACCTCCCCTAGTCAATAAGTAATCCAGCTGAGGAGGGGGTCACTGGTAGCAAATCAGCTGATTCAGTGTGCAGTTCTGAGCATGCTTGTTTGCTTTACAGAGATTTTCCAGGGAAAAGAAAATTTTTTTACCTTAAAATAACATTTTTAGTGCAAAGACATTTAAAGACAAGGATATGAAGTGGAATGTGAAATCCTCCTCTCCCTGACTGCAGTCTCTCTCTCTCCAAAAGCAACTAGTAAAATAAAAATTATCAATACTTCTTTCCTGGAAAAAAATGATCAGAATATATAACCTTTATGTTTACAAATATTTTCATAAAAAGAGATCCTACTTTATGTACTATTTATGTTTGGAGACATTTCCACAACAGATCTACCTCATTCTTTTAATAAATGTCAAGGTTTCAACAATAGGATGGTACATCCATAAAACTTATTTATATTTTCAAGGAGCCTCAGTGTCATGTAGTATCCCACGAGGAATACTACAACATGGCATTATTTTAAGCTCTGGGTAAAATACCTAATGTTTCTAGGAGCAGATACTTGTGTATTTTCATATATTTTGGTAATAAACTTTGGTATTCTAATAGAAAAATGAATATTCAGGAATACATCTCCAATTTATAATACTGTGCCTATAGGGTACGAATGCCAAACTAAATAACAGCTCAACTTACTTTCTTAATGAGTAGAATAGTTATCTACTTCTTTTGTTTCTGTTTTGATTGTATGTTTTAAAATATAGTACTTAATATTTATGAAATCTACTTTAAGAAAAATCTTAACAATAACATCACTATCTTATAGTTATATATCCTATTACATCAAGCTCACTTAAGGAGTGTTTCTAATTAAGTAGTAAAAGGGGCTGACCTCAAAGTATAAATCAATATAAAGATTTCCAATTGATAAGAATGTGGAAAGTAAGCACTCTATACATTCTAATTATCAAAACAACATCCAGCTGAAATCAAATATTTTAATGAATACAATGAGGGAGAAAGTTCTATAACTCTGGCTTCATGTTTCCATATGGAGGATTTTCCATTAAAGTAACATTCCTGGCCTCTTCTAATTCACTCTCCTAAAGGCACTGCCATTCACCTAATTGTTCAAACACCAATTCCTTAATTTCCCTCATCCCTTCCAACAAATTTATCAGCAAGTCCTACAGGTTGAGCATGCCAAATACCAAATGTTCCAAAATCTGAAACTTTTTGAGTGCTGACATGATGCTCAAAGGAAATGCTCACTGGAGCATTTTGGACTTCAAAATATCCAAAATCTGAAAAAATCTGAAATCTGAAACACTTTTGGTCCCAAGCATTTTGGATATGGGATACTCAACCAGTATAGATTCTACCTTCAAAGTATACTTTAATAAGTCCAGCTTCTCACCACCTGAATCTTAGCCTAGGTCATGCTTACTTCTCACTAAGATTACTGTAAATTCTCCTAATGTTTTTCCTGCTTTCATACCTGTCCTCTGTAATCCATCTACCTCACAGCAGCCAAAGTGATCTTCTACAAATGTAGATCAAATAATGTCTCTTAAAATCCTCCAATGGTTTCCTGATATCTATAAAAACAAAATCCACGACTTCACTCTGACCTATCAGGTCCTACACAATCTGGCCCTGGCTGCCCCTCTAACCTCACTACCTACCTTTCTTTCCCTCCCCCATTAGGTTATAGTCATACTGGCCTTCTTTCCGGCCACCTTAGAGCTTTTGTAAACCTGTTCCCTCTTCTTGGAGTGCTCTTCTAGACTGACTCCATGTTATTCAGGTTTGAGCTCCAATGTCACCTTCTGAGAAAGGTTTTTGCTGATTACCCAGTGTAACCCCCTACTTATGTATTGAATTACTCTGATATTTTCCTACTTATGTTTACTGTCTGTATCTCAACGAGAGTATATGCTCCATGAGAGCAGATAACTTGTCTTTCTTGTTCAGAGTCTAGAAATAAGCATAGCACATAGTAGGTATTCAGTACGTGTTGACTAAATACGAGGGTACTTCAAAAAGTTTGTAGAAAAATAGAATTAAAAGATAATATGAATCTTCCCATGAACTTTTTGAAGTACTTTCATGACACGAATGAATAAATCTTACTTTATTTTTTAAAAAACTCCATTAAAACATAGGAAAAGTTACTAACATGGAAATATACAAGTAATCTTCCAAATCAGTAGTAAATGACTTTACAATTGAAGAATACAGTGGTTTAATTCTAAAGGCAAGCAGAGGATTCTTAAATATTTAAACCAAGATACGATCAGTTCACTTTTCTAGTTTACCTGGAGTATCCATGTTATCATGTCCTTCTGGCCTTCTATCTGGGGAATTCCTTTGAGTTTTTCTAAAAGCATTTGTATATTCTGAGCATTCATGGCTGAACTTCCCAATCCTTTTTTAAAACACAAAATTACATATCATATGTAAATATATATCTTCATAATTATGTACTAATTACAACTTTTAGTTAATGTTATTCACATTGATAACCAAGGTGTGCTAATCAATCCCTTAACTACATTAACTTTTCAATGGAAGAATCTGCAATTAAATGAAACACTGAGTTACAGTTATATAAAGTATTAAATAATAAATTTAAAATGATATATGAGAAAGACTTGAATTACAAAAAAGAAAAAGTGTAGCAAAATCCACCCTTAATGATCTGTCTCTTGCCTCTCCTTCACTTGGCTCACAGTCTAAGCAAAAGTGCTTAATGAGAAACAAAACTGCCAAAAATATCAAAGTGGGAGATGTTAAATCCATAAACTCAATAGGTTTATAATGTTTTCAGGGATCTAAAAAATACAGTAGGTAAATAGAAAATGAGATGCTTTTCTCCCAACCATTCGTTTTACAATCACTGTCTTTGAAAAAACTACCTTAATTAGGTAGCACTTACTAGAAATCTAATCTAAACCTATCCTGTTCTTTCAAGTTGAAAACTGCAAAATAAATACATTTTCCATTCATTCAGACTTCAACAATCATTTGAAATTAAAAAATATTATCTTCCACAGATAGGTTGTGTGAATGTTATGGTTGATGCAGCAGTAAATTCTTGGCAGTAATGAGATAAGGAACGAAAATAAGAAACCCCTAATGTATGCAACCAAAAAAGGGGGTGAGGGGGGATCATGTAGTAAAAGGATTGCAGTGGGGGATTAAAAAAAATATTAGCATACTAGAAAATATTAGCTAAAATCTAAAGATGCTAGGAAAAGACAATTTCAGGGTTTTTCTACATTTTAAGAATTGATAAATTAAAGCTCTTTAATATTTAAACTTTCAGTTACAAATTGGTAATTAGCTGGAACTGTGCTGAAAAATGATACTTAATCATACTTGAAGCCTTATGGTAAAAGTCGAATGTCACTTCTTCTTCAGGAGTTTTCTGAAGCTGTTGCTTCTCTTCTAATAAACCTAATGCCAGAATATGAAATGCCTGGAGGAAAATAAGAGATCTTTAAGATAATGCTTCTTTAGGTAAGTATATTTTAAGTGGAGGTATAAAAATAAGCAACCTGACAGGTAAAAAATGGGCAAAGGTTATAAACAAGCAGTTCACAGAAAGAGAAATGATGAATACGCCTATGAAAAATGTTCATCCTCACTTAAAATTAGCAAAATGTGAGTTGAAAAAATATCAACCTATTTTTCACTCACTAGAGTGGCAAAAACTTTAGAGTTTAATAAAACACAGCACTTTTCACCACACTTGTGATGGGAAAGTAAGCAGATGTAATATTTTTGGAGGCCAATTTGACAATATCTATCAAAAATGTAAAGGTACAGATTCAGTACTAGGAATTAATGTAATACATATACTCATTTAGGTAGGCAAAGATATTTGTACAAGGATGTTCATTTTAGTGCTCTTTTTTACAGCAAAGACCTAAAAACAACCTGATCCTATTAACAGGAGATGAGTAAAATGCATTATAGTAAGTATATCCATACAATGGAATATGTAGCTATCAAGAATGAGGGAGACCTATATATGCTGATGTGGAATGATTTCCAGAATACACAAAACTTTAGCGTGCTTATCTCCTAAGTAGGGTACTGGGAGACAGGAAGAGAAATTTAACTTGATTTTCAAATATATCTCTGTGGTCTGAAATTTAATAGTGCACGTATTTATCACTGCTATAACAAAAATTGCAATACACATACAGCACGACAGCATTTACAGCCTGCAGACTAACAATATCCAAGGAAAAAAGAAAATTTAGTTAGGCAGATATGAAATAAATATCCAGTTACAACTACCACAAAGTGGCATGATTATGTAATTTATCTAAAACAGTATCAAGAAAAAATAACTGCTTCTACTTGAGCTAATTCTTGTAAATACTCCATGAAATAAGTACACTTATACCAGTTTTACTAATGAGGAAATTATTATTTGCTCCTAAATAGGAAGGTGGGGGGAACCCGGGATTCAAGCTTAAACCTATCTGTCTTGAAATCTTATTATACTGTCTCCTTATAATACAAGTGACATAAAGAATATAAAAAATCATGATGCAATAACAACATGCCAATTTACTATTAGCATGAGTAGGCCTTTTCTTGTTTTTGTAGGTTTTACTAAACATAAATGGTTCCTAAAAGTAAGGATGCTAAAAACATGGGAATATATCACTAAGGAAATTCGGGCCACATGTAAGCTATTTTTAATGATCCCTAGAGATAGGTTGCTCTAGATGTGATTCCGACTGAAGTTAGGCCAGGAATCTGCTCCAGATCCCTAAGAAGTCTAGGACTCAATGTAGAACAATTATTTCAGGTGAACATACCATTTGGAGCATCCCTTCAGTCCACAAGTTAGAATCTATGTCTATTGCCCGCTCGAATATGGTCCTGAGAATGTACATCATGATATCACAGTTGAGAAGGTTAACCACTTTGCTGAAAGCAGGGCAGAATTCAGGAGGTGGTGGTGGTGGCAATGCTACAGGGGTGGGGAATGGATGTGAAACGAGACAAACAGGTACATTTTTATTTGGATTATCCTGCATACTAAATGTCAAAAATTAAAATAATAGATTATGTGCAAAAGAACACAAGATTTTTTGCTGCCTTTAAAGCACTGAAAATATCAATGTCAAGGAAATTAAGTCACTATGTCATTCACCCAAAATAAATTCCACTGGCTATCAATTTAAAATTCTATTATCACTGATACAGGCCACATCTTAATATGTGAATGAAAAGCAAAAGGCTCTCTACACTTTAGTTGTCCACAATCAAAAGCCAACAAAAACAAAAACAAAACACTATGTAATTTCCTGAAACGAAACCAAAGAAAATAGTCAAATGAGTCCATGCAGAATCTCACTTTTTACCTTCATCTTTGTTTTCTTGTTTTCTCCTTTTCTTCTGCATATGTTCAGCCTATTTAAAACAAACAAACAAAAAACTATCACTAAACATACTGCTTAGCAAGAATGAAACAAACAAAATACTTTTTTTTTTTTCCTTTTTGTCTTTTTTACTGACTGGTAACGGGATCGCAACCCTTGGTGTTGCGCCCGCACCGCGCTCAGCCAGTGAGCGGGAACCGGTCTCCACATGGGATCCAAACCCTCGGTGGGAGCGCCGCTGCGCTCCCAAGCGGCGCACTCTCCAGTGCGCCACCGGGCCAGCCCACAAACGAAATACTTTAAAGTAGGCAGGAAAGACCCAACTACCTACTAAAATATTTAATATAGTGAAGCACATATTCAAAATGCTACCTTATCTTAGAAACAAAATAGCCATTCTAGGGAAGCCCACAGCAAAATAGATGAGGAATATCCCTTGTGAAGAACTGAGTCCCTGTTCTTTTCTGTGAAAAATATTTACCTAGTGCCTATTATGTGCAGGGTACTGTGCTGTGAGCTGTAAACTATTCATCTTATAAGGACAAAGCCAGACATCCCCTTAACTTAGTGATCAAATTTAATGTGATCCTTCATGGGGCAAAAAGACATGTGCCTACTGATATGATGCAATATATCACCTATGTAGTATTCATCCCCCAAAATGTTTAACTTCAATCTAATCATGAGACTACACTCAAACATGCAGAATGTAGGATATTCTAAAAGACAACTAGCCTGTACTCTACAGAAATGTCATTGTCATGAAAGACACAGAAGACAAAAGAGCTATCCTAAATTAAAGGAGACTATAGAAACATGACAACCAAATTAAATGCATGATCATGAAGTGCATAATGCTTGATCGAACCCTCCTCCCCGTAAGACAGCTATAAAGAACATTTTTGGTATAATCAGGAAAATCTGAATACTGCCTGTATAATATATAACATAACTGACTCAATTTTAATTTCTTGGGTGAGATAATACCCTCTATGAATGAAAACCAGCAGGAAACTACAGAAAAACCAGGAACTTTTCTCTGGAGTTAGAAAGCAAAAAGCATTTTTGGTTTATTTACTGAAAAGGCTACCTTTTCATACCTTGCTATGCTGTGTTTTGGAGTAATGATAAAAGTACATATTGAAGTCTTTCAATGATTCATCTTTCAGTTCATAAACTCCATGGCCTGATACACCTGGTTTCCTAAATAGATGGAAAATACAGAGATGAATTGCAATGTTCTTGAAGTACAGCATACAGACAAAATAAGAACCTAAAAATTAATCTAAAAGTCAAAATTTAACGAACCCCCCCCCATTATTATATTTCATTCAGCTTTCTTAAGCTGAAATGATAAATTTCACTGCAATAGTAAAATGAAAAGCCTACATGTGAACACAAAGTCCTAATAACTGCTAAGTTGTGTTTTATAATTATGAAATTCAAACAAATCTGGGGAAGTTTGTTTTATACTATTTAGACCTGATTTCATGCCCTACTTAAATCTCTATGGCTTCTTTTATCACCTCTGAAGCCTACAGGTTGCCTATTCAACTAAAGCACAATGTGTTGTCTAAGATCAACATGGCAGGAAGAGATCATATCTTTAGTAAATTGTAGGTGAACATATAGTGTTGTATCTATCATACAGTACTATAAGGAAAAGCAAAAAGGACACCATTGCATTTGTTCTCAACATTAAATAGCTTTTGGTTTCTACTCAATTCTTAAGTTAAATATTTCACTAAACATAATTAGAGTATAAGAAAAGCAACATCCTATTTTAAAAGTTATTTGAAACTAGTAATTTATCTATAAGCACAATACTACATCCAGTAGGAATTCACTATCAGTATCAGTTTTTCGAATTTTAAAAATTAATCCAATTAAAATCTTATTTCATTTCATATACTTCAAAGAATAAAAGGATTATAAAATACTGCTTTAGCTCTAATAGAGAAAAATATAAAAAAGGATATAAAATAAAAATTTATGAGACAACAAATGAAGTCATGGCTTCAAATTAATGGGAAAGAGACTATCAGAAAGATTTATTTATTATCTAAATCATCTATTATCACAAATGGATATTTCTCATTCATTTACCAAATAGACTCATTTCTTCAACAAACATGTACTAAGTTAAGTGCCTACTGTGTGCCCCTCATTCTCACTTTTTCTAATCTGTACTCCATTCTTATCTTGGGAGTTCAGGCAAGAACTACAGAGCTTCCACTAAGTATCCAAAGTACACGAACAAAGATCAATCTATCTCTTAGAATAAGCATAAATATTAAGCACTTACTTAAATGTGGCTACTTTGTTTATGACATTCTCTAAGCCAGTTTCGTTGTTTTCCTGCAAAGATAATATTTTGTCATTTTTACCTTCATGTAATAACTCTCTTCTCTTACTGTGAATTGAAATGTATTTTCAACTGCAACTCTGAAGTACTTTGTAAATAATTTAAAAAGATCAATTTCCGATATTAAAAAATTAGCTCTGAAACCAATTAGCCATGTTTTGGGAGACCAATTTCTTTTCTTTTTTTTTTTTTTTTTTTAAAGATGACCGGTAAGGGGATCTTAACCCTTGGCTTGGTGTTGTCAGCACCACGCTCAGCTAGTGAGCAAACCGGCCATCCCTATATAGGATCCGAACCCGTGGCCTTGGTGTTATCAGCACCGCACTCTACCGAGTGAGCCACGGGCCGGCCTGGGAGACCAATTTCTTAAAAGTTAAGAGCTATGTATAAACTGCTTAAGAAAGAAATGTTATCTAAATTTGCCTTCATATGTGTGTGAACACACACATATACATATGAGTGTACTTCAAATACTACAAAAAGGTCGTGGAAAGATTCGTATTATCTTTTAATTCTATTTTTCCATGAACTTTCTGAAGTATCCTCGTATATATGTACATGTGTGTGCGCAAACACACACGGCATTACCAATAGTTCAAAGAAAGGAAGCTTTTCTTTATGTAGTATGTTCATCACCCTCTCATTTAAGCACATGCCCATGCTGTACTAATCCCTAAAACCAAATATATTGGATCAAATTACTGATCTATAGCAAAACACATGTGTAGTTACCTTGATGTACTCTACCTTCTATAATTATGTGTTTTTTTCTGGTTGGCCTCAACTGCTCTTTGAAGACAGACACTATTTTTTTATGAAGTCATTAAAAATCAGAATAAGGACCAGCCAAGTTACTACAGTAATCTCATGGATTCCTATAAATTAAGAAATTTAACCTCCTTTTTAAAAAACAGTATTTGGAGTAAGCAGCAAAAATTAGGGTATACCTTAAAGCATTTTTTTTTTTTTGGCAAGGTATGGTATGCATATTCACTGGTAGTATGTGAAATTGTTTTAGGTATTACAAGTTATATATTTTAAAAATATTGAATAGTTATTCACCTGTTTTAGAAGGCTGGCCAGTTAGCTCAGCTGGTTAGAGAGGAGTATTATAACACCAAGCTCAAGGGTTCAGATACCCATACTGGCCAACCTCCAAAAAAAAAACAAACAAAAAACCCCCAAAAATACATATTAGGGACAAAATGATCTACAACATCAAGCATACTATTTCATTGATATTACTGCTTGGAAAGATACTAAGGAAAAATGTGAGTTGATATAAAAAATGTGACTTCTTATTAATAATCGTTAAGTTGGTAGATGAATATGCAAAAATTATAAAGGTGATATGCCAAATGACTACAGTTTGAAAATCAGTTAACAATAAAACTGGAAAAAAGATACAAATAATTGGGGGGAAAGCGGGGAAAGAGATGACAAGTAGTCAGAGCTTATCCCTATTCTACCTCTCTGGAAAGCCTTAATAGCATTTGATACTTTGATAGGTAAGTATAATTCCTTTTAAAGAATCATTGTTCTAATTCATACTCAAATCTCAGTATGAGACTCATAATCTTTAGGACTAATACTTCAATATCTGTATATACAAAAACAAATACCACCTGTGGAGGCCATGAGAATGCACTTTGCAGACCTCTAATTAGAGGGAGCATAAATGACCACGTGCTTTGGCTGCTGTATTCTGGTCCCACTAAGGCCAAACTTCTCACCAGCTGTTCCCAGACAATGAGTGAGGCAGAGATAATAAAGCAGGCTCACTCTGGGAGACATGGGAAGACACCAGTAGGAAGGCACCAAAGCCCAGCAGTCTAGGATGCTTCTATTTAACCTTCCTTCTCTCTTTCTTTCACCAGGAGTCAGAACTTGCATCATACTCTGATGGCTCCCTAGCCTTTCCAGCTCCCCCACCATTTTCTTTTCTTTTCTTTTCTTTTCTTTTTTGTCTTTTTCCGTGTCTGGCAACGGATCGCAACCCTCAGTGTTGCCCCCGTACTGGACCGGGGACCGGCAACGGGACTGCAACCCTCGGTGTTGCTCCCGCGCCTCGCTCAGCCAGTGAGCGGAACCGGTCTGTATGTGGGATCCGAACCCTCGGGCGGGAGCGCTGCCACGCTTCCCAAGCGGCGCACTTATCCAGTGCGCCACCGGGCCGGCCCTCCCCCACCATTTTCTTGAACAAAATCTTAATGTTTTGTCTTGAGATCTGCTCCTCAGAAGACCCAGATTAACACACCACCCAAACAGTCCCAATATTTCAGGGAGCCCTCTTTTCCTCTGGAGAAACCTTATTTTAAAGAAAACGAAAAGAAGATTCTCCCAGAATTAAAGTTTGTATCACTAAAGAATGAATGATGATTATACATCTGTAAGGTAATAATATAGGGCTTTTAGCTAAACAAAGTTTTCTAAAATTTTGAAGTAGCTTCCAACTAAAAAGAAAAAGAAAAAGCTATCCTATCTTGAAGTAAGTGGAGAAAAACAAAATTAGACTTACATTTTCAGGTAAATTTTTGGCAATGGCACTATGTGGCATGGGCTCAATGCAAAGCAAGTGAATAATTTCTCTCATTGTGACCTCTTCTTTGGTCACATTTCCCACTCCAGGTACATAACGCTCTCCTAATATAATGAAAAGAAAAAGTAGAATAGTTAATTGCTTTCTATTTAAATCTCTCCCTGCCAGGAGCACTTATACATAGAACACTCTATTAAATTAGATCTATAAGAAAGGGACCAAAAATTATTTGGACATGTTCCCAAATCTGAACAACAGTCTATCTGCTGAAAGACAGAAAAAATTGAAGTGACCTGAAGGAGAATCATGGCCTTGTTTTAACTTACTCATACACACATACATACAAACACACATATGTATACATACACATATTCACACATTATAAACAAGGCCTCTCAATTAAATTAGCAAGTGTTTCTAATCCAGAAAACAAGGCAGATGCCCATCACTCAATAGCTTTTCTTTCAAGATGTTCCTCAATTTTATCTTTACTTGTTATTTAAGAAAGAACAAAGTGAAAACTGAAAAACAAAATATTTAAAAATGTCTTCATGGATTAAATGACAAAACAGTAATACGTATCAGGAATGATTCGTGTTGTGGAAATACCCACATGGTCAGGTTTTCATCTTTTATCGCAATAAACTGCCAAATGGAGAGAGAAATGGCTAAATTAACTATGGGAACTTCACTTGTGTAAACAGCATCTAATTCCCATTGCCTCAAGAAGGCTTACAACATTTACAACATCTGGCTTTATGTCAACCATTGATTTTCAACACTATAACATCTACACAAAGTCCCATGATACCTATAGAAGGGTTAAAAAGAAAGAAACCCCTGGCCTAAGAGATTTGATGAATTCTATGAATTTGTCATAGAATGACTTTTTGTTAAGTGAATCCATTTCCAACACACTCATCCTCTTGACACTTGTAAAATATTTTGTAATTTTCATATTTTCTCACCAAAAACAGTACCACCTAGAATTTTTGTGCTAGATGGAACCTTAGAGATCATGTAGATCACCCCCACATTTTGCAAATCAGGAATCTGAGGCCCAAAAAATGTAAGTGGCATACTCTTAATAGGTGAAATAAGGCCAAGACTGGATCTTCTGATTATTAAGCTGAATTTTTTTCTACTTCTTAATATTTTTTCCACTATAAAACCAGAGATTATAATTTCTTTTCAACAAGAATGTTGACTCCTCAAAATAACAAACCTATACTCAGGAATACAGCAAGATTCAACTAAAAATCCTATCACATAGGAGGAAAATCCCAATAAATCTGGATAAACACAATAACATTAAAATAATAATAGCAATAATAGTAAAAAAAAAAAAAACAGTAAAATTATAGTACAATATTAGAAATTCTTCATACAAGAACAAACACAAAAATTCCCCTCAAGTTCCTATAATTTGATAAAGTATATAATCAACTTCAGAATCATTTATACACTTTTAATTTGCCCATTTTTTCCCCATCAGTTTCTTACTGAAATATTCTGGACAGGAAAAGTTAGCAGCCTGGAAGATTTAAGTCTCACTTAGTAATAAAAGCTTACAACACTTTCTACTGAGACAAGCAGTTAGTCCAGCAACCAGCTCTCTGACAAACAAGTAAAATGAAACCATGTTTACAAACTTATAGCTAATGGCTAGAATCCTCATTAGGTAATATTAAAACAAAACAATGTCTGAAGTAGTAAAGTAAATAACAAAAGCTAGAATGAGAAGTCAAGAACAAGATGTTGGCACTGATGCATCGAGCTGGCAAAATCAACAGGGACCATGTTGTATTCAATAGTTTAGAATCTATAAGTGTTTCTGCAAGGAATTCCTATATTAATTTTAGCTGAATTATAAAACACATTTCAAAAGGTCAGTGTCATAATAACTTTTATTTCTGGCAAAGAACATTCTTTTTTCTTTCCCTAGGTAAGCTTAATGAAGCGAAGTATGGCCAATATTTGCACCAAGTAATTTAAGAGAATGACGCAATGAAAATAAATTTTACTAAGACCTGTGTTATGTTTAAATTTCATATATATACATAAAACATTTTTAGCACTAAATGAGGTTTTTTCCATCTACATGTCTACCTCACATAACTATATTCCAGACCTCCAAATAAGTCCAAACAATTATAATTCAGGTACTAAAAAATAAAGATGTAAGATCTGTGCTTTTTTAAAGGTGGGTTTCTAAATGTATCAATCACATCAGTCACAGTAATCTCTCTCTTTTTTTTTTTCCTTTTTGTCTTTTTTCGTGACCGGCAACGGATCGCAACCCTCAGTGTCGCGCCCGTACCGGACCGGGACCGGCAACGGGATCGCAACCCTCGGCGTTGCTTCCGCACCTCGCTCAGCCAGTGAGCAGGAACCGGTCTGTATGTGGGATCCGAACCCTCGGCGGGAGCGCCGCCACACTTCCCAAGCGGCGCACTGTAGCAGTGCGCCACCGGGCCGGCCCCAGTCACATTAATTTCTAATTAACATTCTTTGCTGTATTTGGAAGAGGACAAAAATGATTAATTATAGTTCTTACTAATGTTTTCTCTGAAAAATAACGCATGTTCTACTTTGAAACATTTTGTTTTAATCTTACCCACAATATAGATGAGGACCTGAAGCATTTCTTCTATTAATGTATTATACTGTTTAATCAAATCCTATAGAATTGAAAAAGAATAAATTAGTTTCATAAAAACCAAAAACCTCCATTAAACATACATTTCTGGATCAGATTCATGGTCTATCCAGTCTAGTACTTTGTTTCAGAGCACAACATATAGTTACAGAGATGAACAGTTCCCCTTTTGACATCAAATTCAACACGGTTCATAATACCTGGCACATAATAAGAACTCAATATCAATTGTTAAATATTGTCATTGTTTTCATTATCATTATCCCTTATATAGTCTTAAGTCAACAAACTAATTTAATTTTTAAGGACTACTCTACTATTGCTTTCCTTTTTACCTGGGTTAGTGAGAAAGTGGCTTCAAATAGATATCCAACAGTTACAGTCAGGGAACGCATCCTTAACACACCCCTATTTCAGAACTGTATCAAATCAGATATTCATTTTCACGAATTAACTATAACGTACAACTAAAAATCAGCTATAAACTTTATATCCTATTTTTTGGCTATTTGCAAGTGACTTCTAATTTGAAAGAATAAAACAATGTGATTTTAAGAACTCAAAGTATTCAAGGGCTACTCTATAAGCTTGTACTTCAAATATTAAAACAATAAAGATATGACAAAACACCATGGAACAAAACACAAATTGTAGGACCGGCCCAGTGGCACACTCAGTAGAGTGCAGCGCTTGGGAGCGTGGTGGCGCTCCTGCCGAGGGTTCGGATCCCATGTAGAGACCAGTCTGCTCACTGGTTGAGCACGGTGCGGGCGTGACACCGAGGGTTGCGATCCCGTTGCCGGTCGCGGTACGGGCACAACACCAAGGGTTGCGATCCCGTTACCAGTCACGAAAAAAGACCAAAAAAAAAAAAAACACCCCACAAATTGTAATAAATGAGTTAATATCCTCACTAAATAAGGAGCTTTTACAAAAACAGAAAAGGCGTGAAGGACAGGAACAGATACTTCACTTGGCCAAAAAGAAAAAAAAAATGCCAATAATAATGAAAACATGGTCAATTATACTGAAAATTAAAAACTTTCATCTATGAGAGCAACAAAGATTAAAAATACCAGTGCCATTAAAGATGTACATATGTTGAGATTAAGCTTCAATTAAAAAAAAAACTTATCACAACATTTTGTTAAGCAAAGGAAACATTACAAAACAGCACATACAAAATGATACAATTTTTGCTTTAAAAACAAATAAGACTCAAACTTTAAAAGTGATAATTTCCAGGAGGCAGTGTTTCATGTGATTTTTCTTCTCTTTGTTAAAAATATATAATAAGAAAAAGATTGAACAAAAAATTAAAAAAAACAAGAAAAAAAAGAAAGTAAAAAATACATATATTCTAATTTTTCTAGAGTAAAAATAATATGTGTGTGTGCATATATATACATGGCTATATGTATACATGTGGATTTTGGAGGTATACATAAAGTAAGAAACTTTTATATGACTAAAACAATAACAACAATATTTCCTTTGAAATTAATTCACATAGTTTCTGTTGCTTACCTGGTCTTTTGTAGATATGGTCTTGTTAAAAGCATCAGCAAGTTCATACCTCTGAAGTACCAGTAACAAGAACTTGTTGGGATCCATTAAAGATGCACCAATCTGTGAAAGAAATCCAGCATCATATTTCTTGTGTATTAAATGGTGAAACATTTTGTCTCTAGTAGAAATGTCAGAAAATCATAAAGTAACTCTGAAGTTACTTTACTTCTGTGATATCATATTCAGTTTAACAGTGAAAAAAATTTAAGTAAAGTTAAAAATAATTACAATATCTTCTCTCATTACAAGGAATATAAGAAGGAAGGTGAAGACATAAATGTCAGAAGTAATTTAAATAGGTACCTGAAGCATGATGATATCTTTATCATACATTTCTTCTCTACACTTAACATCTTGGTAGTAAAACACCTATAAAATAAAAGGTAGACTAGATGCTTGCTAAAATAATTATTTTATTTCAAGCAAAACGTTTAACAAAACCTGTTTTTAGAATTTTCTCTAAGCTAGAAACCCCTAGAACTCCTTAGTGGCAAAAAAAATAAGTTGTAAATCTATGAATTTAAGAGATTTGTGAGGATAAAGTGAAAAATATGGCATGAAAACACTTGAGTTAAAAATGCTCCATATTAGTTATTACTCTTAACATGTGCAACAAAAGTATTTCTCCTAAGTTTAAAATACCTACTTCAAAAAAATAAACCAATTTCTACACTTAATTATTACACCATTTTTTTCCCAAGTGGTAACTTTACAAGTCCTATTTCTCTACCTTTTCGGAAACACACTTCTCCATACTTACTCTAAACTGGAAGGAAAAATTATAAAGTGGCCTTCAATTAAGACAGCTGGTAGGAAGACTAAAGGTCTTATGAAAGAGCTATGTTAATGGAGAGGCTTCCGGTGGTACTACTGGCTTTCACCTAATCTATTTACTCAGGTACCCTAGTTTCCTATAATTCAGATAGAGTAAGCAATAAATAGAATAAAAGGAGAAATACCTACATGGTCCCTAGAACTCTCATTTCTAAGAGTTTATACAAGAGAAGAGAAGCAAATACTCAGCAAAATCTTGGGACACAGGGTAAAATTATAAAAAGAAAAAAAAATCAGAGAATGAACACATTCATAAATATAAATAATAGATCTTGCCATACCTGGCTAATGAGAGACAGCCCATTTCTTCGCCACATCTCAGCAACAACCTGGGCAACCAATACCAGACAACGCAAAGGATATTCCACTAGCACCTCTACTTGAAAGTCCTCCTGAAACAGTGAGGTCAATTTCATTACTTCTCACAGGGCTTGGATATGTCTCAAAGTTATGGCACTACAAATTCCTTAGTTTTCTCATGTGTAAAGTGGAAGGGCTTGAACTAGATAACTTCCAAGTCCTCATGATTCAGATTTCAATGTGCTATATATGGATATAAAATTACTAAAAGGGAATACTCAGATGGGTTTCAAAATACTATTTTCCTTCTCACCCATGAACCAAGAAGTGTTTAGAAATAGGATACATGCAAATCAACACTTGGTACAGTCACTTACAAAAGGCACAAATTCATGTAGTCTTGAAACAGCACCCAGCCTGCTCAAACGCACATGAAGACCTAAAGTTTAAAAAAAAAGAGAGAAAATGAGAAAGCAATTAAACTCAGTCAAATTGTTTACTAGTTAACATTACCAAGTTTGTAAACTCATGTGATTTAAATATACATTTATTTATTTTTTAGTTTAGTTGAGAAATAACACTCTAAAAACAAACAAACAAATAAAAAAAAAAAGAAAAGAAAAGAAATAACACCCTAGATGCAAATTTTCGGTTTCTAATTTTGAAACAAAATTTTACTAGCATACTTAAAATCCTACACTGTGCAGGGTGTGCTCATACATTATATAAAAATAATATGCTACCTCTCAAGATATGGATATTCTGCTCTTAACCAAGCATCAAAATAAATGAAAACTAATCTAAGTATTTTAGAATAAATATAGAAGCAATATAAAAATCACCTGCTGTAAATTACACCATATAAAAAAATTAACTCAAAATCGACCAAAGACCTAAACAGAGGAGCTAAAACTATAGCTCTTAGAAGAAAACATAGGGAAAAGGATTCATGACACTGGATTTGACAATGATTTTTTGGATATGACACCAAAAGCACAGGCAACAATAGGAAAATAAAGATAAATTGGACTACATCAAAAACTCTTATGCTTCAAGGGACGCTATTGACAGAGTAAAAAGGCAACCCACAGAATGGGAGAAAATATTTGCAAATTATATATCTGATAAGAAGTTAATATCCAGAATATACAAAGAACTCCTACACTGAATAGCAAAATAATAAACAACCGGATTAAAAAATGGGCAAAGCACTTGAACAGATATTTCTCCAAAGATATACAAATGGCCAATAAGCATATGAAAAGATGTTCAACATCACTAATCATTAGGAAAATTCAAATCAAAACCACAATGAGATGCGACTTGACACCCATTAGGATGGCTATTGTTAAAAAAAAACAGAAAATAAAGTGTTAACAAAGATGTAGAAGAACTAGAACCCTTGTGCACAGCTGGTGGGAATGTAAAATGGTACAGTGCTATAGAAAACAATATGACATTTCCTCAAAAAGTTAAACATGGAATTCCCATAAGATCCAGCAATTCCACGACTGGGTACATACCCAAAAGAATGGAAAGCAAGGACCTGTACAGATATTTGTATACCCAGGTCCATAACAGCATCATCCACAATAGCCAAAATGTGGAAGTGACTCAAGTGTCCATTGATGGATAAAAAGATGAACAAAATGTTCATACACGATGGACTATTATTCAGCCTTAAAAAGAAAAGAAATTCTGACACATACTGCAATGCAGATAAACCTTGAGGATATTATGGTAAGTGAAGTAAGCCAGTCACGAAAGGACAAATACCATGTGATTCAATAAGTAACTAGAGCAGACAAATTCATAGAGACAGAGAGTGGTGGTTGCCAAGTGCTGTGGTAGTGGTGGTGGTGGAAACAGGGAGTCATTATTTAATAATAATAATAATAATATTATATTTCAGTATTGGAAGTTTCATTTTTGGAAGATGAGAAGGTAATGGAGATGGATGATGGTGATGGTTGTGCAACAATGTGAATGTACTTAATGCCATTGAACTATATACTTAAAAATGCTTAAAAATGGTAAATTTTATGTTATACATTTTTACAACTAAAAATATAAATATATACACCTCAATAAAGTTATTAAAAAGAAAATCTGACAGATGAAGTGCTGATTTACATGGAAATACAAATTATTAAAGAAAATCTATAATTACTTTCTTTTAGTAGTGAAGGAAGAGTGACAGACAATACAGTGGTGAAATTGGGCACAGAGGAGGGTTAAAAACCAGCAAGAAGATTTTATTGCATTTGAGTTTACAAGGAAGATGAGTTAACGAGTTAGACCTTAAGTGTATACTATAAGAATCCATTAGTTGATCCAGATTTTAAAAGGCCCAGAAAAAGAAGCATCCTTAGACAGATGTTCTGGTGACAGCTCCTTGAAGGACTGTGACAGTGATAGCCCTTAACTGTGATGTCTGATCTGTCTGTACATACTGCACACATAAGAAAAATAGAAATGATTCTACTACTCTCAATATCTAGGAAACAAAGCTAACAGATACATGGAATAAGCAAAAAACACTCACTCACCAGCAAGAGTCCTAGAAAGTGGCAGATGTATGCTTACAAGATCCTCAGATACTCTGTAAGACTTAGTTTCCAAAGTATGACCACACAACTGTACTAGTGTCTTGCTACCAGATATGAAACTTGTACTGCACCTCATTACAGCTTTATGACATTCTTTATAAGCCACAAGTAAGAGTTCTTCCTAAAAGGAAAATAAAAATGCAAATAAGTTGACAAGTTATTTACTTTACCACTCATCCTTCAATAAATATTTATTAAGTGAGTATAAAATTGTTCTATGTATTACTAGGGCTATCTCTACAGGATCTGCAAACCAGTAGGAAATATAAGATATACACATATACACACTTACAATCAAAGTAAAAGCTGTAAGTACTATGTAAATAGTATAAATGAATTGCTGTAAGAGGGTAAAGAAAAGAATCACAAACAACTGGGAAAACATATTTATGAAAGCAGCTTCTGAGTGGGCCCTAAAAGAATATGTAGAATTTAAGTATGAAGAAAAATGAGGAGAAGGTGGCATTCTAAGCAGAGATATAGAATAAACAAAGACAAAAATAAAGGAAAATACAACTCTTGTTCAGGCAGTGGAAAGGAATAAAAACTAGATAAATCAAAGAATGTATCGATGGAATTAACAAGCAATTACACTGGAAATATGCCTTGGCATCCACATGATTACGTTGGTGGTGTCTATAGCATAATAATGTAGTTACCACCCTGCTTTAAGAAGAATTAATGTGTATCATTGAAGATAACAGATTGGACAGGGTAAAGTCAGGAGATAAGGAAACCAAAAGGAAAATTACTATAAAGTCATGGTCTAAGGTGATAAATGTTTGAACTAAGGTGGGGCAGTCAGAACAGAAAAGAATGAACCCATAGAAAATAAATTAGAATTATAAATAAATTTGGGAGAAGGAAGAATCAAATCTGGGTGAGTATGGCAGAGAGAGAGAAAAGTGAAAGTTCACTCTCTTAATACAGTATTTCTCACACTGATTTTATCTTGAAAAAGGAACTCCATGGTCAAACAAATTGGGAACATTCCTCTTAGAAACTAGCATATTGACTAATTAAAGGTTTCAAAAGTTAAGTAGCTTTAAAAAAAATCCTCTGAATTTGTTCAGCCTAACATTTCCCAATTTAATGTGAACCCAGAAATCCCCCCCAACAAAACATCTGTTAACATAGAACACACAGAATACAATGGATCTGAGACTCCCTGTATGAATGAATGAAGGGATAGTAGTGTCATTAATAGAACAAGAGAAGTCAAAATGAGAAAATGAAAGTTGGAAGTGGAAGGAAATGATGACAAATCAAATTAAGATATTCTGAGTTTGAAATATAAGTGTAAGGTCTAAGCAGGAATGACTGGCACACAAACAGAAATGATACTATAGCTTGGGAGAGTTATCCCTATGAGGTTTTAAGTGGCAGAAATAAAAGATCTGTAACAAAGAGAACAGAACACTGGGGAATATTAGCAGGCAGAAGGAACTGGAAAAAAAGGCAATTATTGGGCCGGCCTGGTGGCGCACTGCTATAGTGTGCCGCTTGGGAGCGCGGCAGCGCTCCCGCCGAGGGTTCGGATCCCACATACAGAACGGCCTCCGCTCC